CAGACGTTAATACAAAAATAATAGTAATAGTCTGTCATTAAACAAATATTCATTACTTATCTACTTACTTACGCTTGTTACTCCCAGTGGAGCATAGGCCGCCGACCAGCATTCTCCTAAGAAATCTGTCCTTCATTACAGATACCAAATTATTTAAACTGTTCTTGTACTAGACTGATTATAATGTGATAATAAATTTAGGTTTTGAAACACAGTTATCTTGTCATATGAATATTTAAAAAAAAAACAGCGAATCGGTATGAGGTTACTATCCTTTATCAATGTCCAATAAAGGTGAGATATCGCGGATTTTGTCCGTTCGTTTAGTGTGTCAGTCCAACATATAAAAGTGTAATTTTCACTGAGGACTTCATATTGTTTATCTGAAACCATCTACATATGTATCCTGTGAACACAACATTGTAGTACATCTGAACTTGTCGGATGAAAAAGCAAGTGAACGTTATAGCTTAAAATGAAATCTTCGGTGAACATTGTGCACTTAAATGCTGCATTCACTCAGTAAATGAACGTAGAAATGCTAGATAATGAACACATATTGATCATTGAGAAGCAGATGCTGGGCGAATTCACGGATATGTACCCTAAATAATGAAAAATTAAAAATATGTATAATTCCGACGGTTTTAATGTCTAACATGAATCGATTGAAGTTAGACAATAACACCGTTGGATGCCGTCTCAGTGGTCTAGAAATTAAGTATTCGCTCGTGAAACCAAAAATCCTGGGTCCGAATCACGCGTGAAGGATCATGGACGCGCATTGCTGAGGCATCCCAAACCAAGACTAGATGACCATCTAGGTTTTTAATGGTAGTCTAGCTTAGATCGACTCGTGAACTTGGCTGTTAATATTCCTTACCCATGCACCTTTGGGTTTAGGCTTATTACTCTTATTATATATTGGCCTGCATGAAGTTTAAAAACATGAAAAGATCATTGTGAGCTTTAGAAATAGTTAATCCATCCGTAAATATTGATAAACATGTGAAAACATGAAACTCAAATGCTAATATTTTATCATATACCTTCAACTATTTTTGTTAAAGTATGTTGTGTGGGTAGTATAAAACAAAATAGTTTTACCCTTAGCTTAAATACTAAAACATTTAATTATCTAAATCAAAGGAATTCGTTATCAGTGATGTCGAATTATCCTACTGAGAATTAACGATTTTCTTATAAGCTAAGCTCATTAATATAATAGACTATATTTACGTTGACAACTATGACTAGAATAACCAAATAGAGTTTATCTGTAAATGACTATCATTTACTAAGTAATAAATTACAAACATTGGTACTTTTATGATTATAACTCATAGATTAATATAACAATTTCCTTACTCATAAACTATCGGTTTTGTATGGTCAATAACACTCTAAGAAGATTAGCTGGTGAATGAAACATAATGGTGTATATATATTTTTTTTGGAAAATCATGGCTTTCCAAATAACAACTAGTTAAATTCATTGGTCAGTTGAGCCTGAATAGAATTTTACGGTCATCAATGACTACGGAATATCATCTTATTTATGGTAGCTGAATATAATTCCCTTTTCTCTGATTAAATGATCGAACTAGAAATATCAGATGCCTTTGTAGAATGCCCAAAGATGGCTGATCTTCGGACTCACTAAATTCGTGGTATGATACTCTGTTATTCAAATCACACATTAATTTGAAATGACACGCAATCAATTGAATGAGAATAATTCACATCAAATGCTGGACATAAGTTTCATGTTAAGCGGTACTCATCAGTAAGATGCACTTCCAACCAGTAACAAAACGATGCTCCCTATAGGATTCGAAACTGTGTCACCCAGTTCTGCAGTCTGATAAATTGCGTCTAATCTATTAGGACTGAGCGTGTTATCCTCTAGGACTGAGATATTTGTATTCACTGATCACTGAGTGGTGACATGTTATGTTTGTCTAGTCGTTTGGATTCTATGAACGATATTCTAGATAAGTAGTAAATCCTACAGACACGTCTTAGTTCATTAGTTAGTGATGAAAAACCTGTTATTTTTGGTCCGTTCAAGTGTTTCGGTTAATTATTTCGAGTTTTTAACAGTGGCTATTCAGTCATATCGTGTCATTACATTCTATCGATTGATGGACATTCTATTTACTTGGAAATCGATAAACGTCCTTCAATAAAATCATTCTCATTAAGAGCCATTTCGTAATGAGGCCACTGCTTGAAGTTGCGCGAAATCGCGACTACGAATTAGTGTTATAGACAAGCATTGAATGCAAGTTCTTGAGAAAAGGTTCAATAACAGTTCTTCGAAATCAAGGTCGACAGAACAAGTTGTTGGTCGTATGTACATAAATTCTAATAAATTACTTCCATCTGAAGTTTGTGTTGACGATGTTGTCCTAGAAGAATATAAGCTTCATGATTAAAACACTCTGTTGAGAAATTGCAACTTCACATAATTTATTTTATGTATCATCATATCGTTCACATAGTAAAATATTTATTATATAAAGATCATTCTGTCTATAAAACAGAAAACTTATTTAACGTATATAAACGCATCAATCTATACACTAATACCATTGAAATAGTAATTGTTTATGCCTAACCGAGAAATGAACAAATTGAACCAAATAACGTTTTATATCATTTATTTTGACCAAGAAAAAAAACAAGCAAATAAAAAAGCAGTGAAATACAGCGACAGTGAAGGTGTATTGGGTATCCTTTTATTTCATTCCCTGTTCAACTCTCTCTTATGTAATATATGCATCGATAACAAAACAAGATGAAAATAAAAGTGAGACATTATATATATTATTAATGGGAAGAAATGGTCAGTCAGTCAGTAACAACGTAGAACTTCGTACGTACGTACATAAGTTCGAGTTGTCATACCACATTAGCATAGAGATGCAATGGTCATCTCGCGGATTCCAACCAGATAGTCCACATCTACAAATATGACTCAGTCCACTTGTCAGTGGCTCCATAGATTTGTGCCATATTTTAGTCTAGCAGCCTCTAGCTTTCTTCCAACCTACTCCTGTACCACTGAACATCGCACGTCGAGGCAGCCGGTCGTTGGGCATACGTAACACGTGTCCCAGCCATCTCAACTGATGAAGTTTCACTACTTCATCAATTGATTTGCCATCCTTACCTAGTACCCGTTTCCTAACAACTGCATTACTTACTCGATGGTCCCACGATATACGAGCAATATTTCGAAGACACCTATGATCAAATACTAGTAACCTACGAATATCCTTTACTCTTACCGGCCATGTTTCACTGCCATAAAGTAGGACGGAACGAACTGCTGCACAGTAAACTCGTCCTTTGGTTGATAGACGGATATCTCGCCTACGCCATAAATGACGCAAGTTGGTAAAAGCTAGTCGAGCCTTCTGTATCCGTGCTGAGATTTCGTCACACACCAGACCACAAGGGCTGATGAGACTTCCAAGATAAGTGAAGCGATCGACACGCTCACTTACTTCACTCCCTATCATTAGTTCGGGTGTCAATGCAACCCAATCCTGAAGCAACATTTTGCATTTCGAGGGGGAAAATCGCATGCCGAACATGCTAGCATCGTTGCTTAGAGTGGTCAGAAGACTCTGCATCTTGTCAGCGTCTTCGCCAAATAAAACTATGTCATCGGCATATTCTAGATCAAAAAGTGAATCTCCCGGTATAAGCTCAACCCCTGGAAATCTAGATGAGGAGAGTGTTATCTCTAAAAGCACGTCAACAACAAAGTTAAACAAGGATGGAGAGTGGAATGCCCTGACGAACACCACTTGAAGTAATCAATTCTGATGACAGTTCGCTATAAGCTCTCAAGAAATGGGAAATTACGAAAGCAAACAAAATCCAGATATATGCATATATAAAGAAAATTTTACAGGTCGAAGTGACAAAAAAGAGAAAACTGAGAATTAGACAGTAATCATATTCATCAGTAAAATAGTAACAGATCAGATTACTGCAACTATTATAATTAATCAAACTAAACTGTATACACAATAAAGTATTCTGGAAATGTTACATTTGTATTAGTTAATATGAATGATCAATGAATTGATGTGATCATGATGAAGAATAATATGATAATCAAGTCACTACACACATACATACAATTATGTACACATACATTCATATACTGTTTGAAAGAGAGAAAAAGTGAATTCACTAAAGTAAACTTATAAAAACAGTAGATTAACGTAGTATTTTATGGATAAAGACCAACTAAAGAGTAACAATAGACATTTAAAACAATAAGAAAACAGGTAAAAAAAAAGAGACAATGTTTAAAAAACAAACTAAACAGTAGTTAAATATGGTGAAAACCGAAAGAGAGAAAAAACCATCAAAAAAAAACATAAACATACACAACGACGAGAAAAAAAATAGATAATACAAGTATGTACATACGTAACAAAGAGTACTTTCACTTAAAGCATAGAGAACAAATTGTTGAAGAACATAATAGACTAACTGAATGTACAAACTCAAGTGTATATATAAATATACGAAAATATGAATTAAACTGATTATTATTATACAATAAAGCATTGGATAAGGGTTAGGACTTTGTAGACTGAAAAGATAATAATCAAATGCTTAATACATTTATATAATACACCATCGACTAAAGTGAAATAATCCATCCACTAAATAGATTGTTAATGTATATTATACATATTACAATAATTAGATGACTAATTTTCAACAGTTGTTCCGCTCAGTAATAAAAGTCAAAAAGTATCTTGAATACATGACATGATCAATACATCATTATATGTATTGAATGCATTTTATTATATCAATGGAATATACAAATAAAATAAGAAATGATACCTTTAAAGATCATTATTTGTTATTGGATTATAATTGTAAATTATAGAATAATAATTCAAAGTAGAAATTTTTAAACATAAAGAATATAGAATAACCATAAAAGAAAATAATCACAATCATTTCTAAGTCAATCGATTAGCCAGTACAAATTGATGCGTTTTCTCAGCTAGATCAATTAGAACTGAATAAATATGCGGTGCTAATGAAACAGGATAAATATCTGTAATTTTATTTTCATGATTATGATTTTTTATCGGTGTAGAATTGTTATTCATTGTAGAATTGGATATGTCATTATTATTATTATTACTACTACTATTATTATTGGTAGTAGTATCATTTAAGTGATTGATGGAATTATTATTTGTTCGACAAATTGTAGTCGACTGATGTTTCGGATGATATGCTTCTAATAAATAATATGCTAATTGAGCTAATTCACGACTAAGTGATTTACAACTGGCTTTACGTGCATCTGTTTCATATAACTGTTCTAATTGTTTGATTTCATTTGTTGACAATGGAGACTGTGAAATGAATATAGATAAAAATTAAAAACATTTATTAATTGTACAAAATGAAGTTAGTTTAGGTGGGCATTTATAAAGACAATATAAACCTGTTGAATAGTTAACATCCATCATAAAAAAGAGTGGCTTAGACCCAAAATATTATTGTATCATCATAGCGAGCGCTTAAACGTTAAGTTGTCATTCAATTTAGTTTATATTTCTAAGCTCAAACAATTCTCAATATAGAGCAACCATCTATCAATATCATTAAAGAAAAACTGTCTCCGTTACATCACATAGTTGAATTGGACTGGTCACAGTTTCTTACTAGGATTTAGGCAATCATCTCTCGAAATTATTTACCTAATGAGCACATGATATTCACCAGAGTAAGTTGCAGATAAACATTGATGAAAACTTGCACATTTCCAAGAAACAATAGTCAAAACTATTTTTTTCAATAGTTGTCTAACTAAGCTTGGTTTGTAATGTAAACTTTAGCAATGAAGTTACTTCACTTAGAAAGCCAATAATCGCATCATAATATATGGTAGGTGGATAACGTAGATAATTAATATTAATTATAATAATATGTCCTCTCTATTCACAAGTACTTTATCTAAGCTTAATACTAAGGCGGAAAAATTTAAAATAATCAATAGTTGAACTAATAGAACATCTTGTCAATGCTGGTCACAAAGTAGAACACAGTGACTCTAGTGTATATGTATACACAGATAATTTAAAACGAAAGAACTTCACTGAAAAGTGAGATTTCTATTTTCAATTTCACGAATAGATTATGACGCATTGTGTTTGAAAATAAAAGGTTAGGTAATCACAAACACAATCTTATCTGTACTGTTCACAAAAATGCATTTGAGAATTGCCAATTAAAACTTGGTTACATCTGAAGAGTTTCCTGGATATGAACTACTGCCGAGAAAAGAATAATTTCTTCAGAATACATAAATTCTTGGTCATCTTAAAAGTGTTTTTAAGAGCCTTTACATTAGAACTAGGTATTTGGTTATGGTCTTCTAAAGGTTCACTGGAAAAGATCGGATAAGTGTCTCCACAAGATATACTCTTAACATAAATGGTGAAGTGTTATCTAGGTTACATACAGTAGTAGACTCAGGTGCTCCTACGACTTGTCGTTTACAAGACAGATATTGAAACAGACTTCCAAGTCTCAACGTCTTAGAAGCCACATAACTCGGAACCTTTATAACAATTAGTCATGTATTTTAATGTACGAAGTTTGTGTTCGACCACTCCTTCAATACTGCACGTTTATTCTTAGTAGTGCGCGTATAAAGGATAAATTAAGGCTGGAATCAGTACAGAGACGATTGTACCTTGACTTATAATTCGAGATGTAATAAACTTCGGCTCAAACCTTTATGGAAGAGCACACTCAAACTAAATCTTATCTTTTTCTTCAAAATACCTAATAAACTATCTTTTACATCCAATCAATTGGTTCAATATGCAGAGACTTCTCACTACGACATCCGTAACTCTTTGTTACTAGTGAAGCAAAACCATTCTAAGTTATCTCTCTATACGATTGCTTTACCTCTAAATTTTCTAGACTCTGGAATAATCTACCACAATCTATCCATACGATAAAATCAATACCATTCTAATCAGTGAATTCCCTATGTAAAACCGCCTGCTTGTTGTCACTTTACGTTAACACTGACCCTAGCAACCTTAACTAATTTGAATAATATCTAACATTAACAGTATATCAATGTGTTACATGATACATGTGTTATAGTAGACCTGACTGACATACTTTGGTAATTATTGCTTTGTTGTTCCGTGCTCTCTGTTTTCGTTTTACTTTCTCTAGTTGTAGATAATTATCATAAATTTGATCTGGCACAGGAAATGACCTTAAATACACCATTCATTAATCAACAGGCTGTCCACTTAAGAAAAATTAAAAGTTCCCGACTGACGTATTGGATTGCTGTAATACATGCACTACCTAAACAATTGCTGAATTAGTAAACGTAAAACAATCTTATGTTATATGTTTGTTCTCTATATCTAATGTTACTATTTATATCAAATTGATCATGCTTGTAACTTGGAGTGAATTCTGTAATTATTATTTTCAGAATATAATTATATATTAAAATGAACAGTGTTGAATTAAATGTCACAAAAATCTGTTATTGAGATATATGATATGATATAGAATGTTTGCCTTTAAAATAAGTTGTGAATGACATGATGTCAATGGTAGTAAGAAAAGACTACCTGAAAAACAATACGTTCCGAGATGAAACAACAAATTCACAGAATAAAGTATTAGATTATTTTAAAACAAAAAAATCGAAGAGAAGACAAAACGTGGATATATCATCGCCGAATTGTGATTGCATTTGACTCAATTTACACGTCTCTAACCAATGGTTGGAATTATTGAGCAGGCCATCAGTTAATTTCAACACACCTGTAAGACTGTATTTAACAGTTGATGACTTCACAAGCTGAGAAGACATATCATGATTTGGTTGCTCTTAGTTTTCATTAGACCACATTAGTCGATCCGCCATCTTTATCTAGTACCCTATATGTAACCTTACTATTGCTCGCTACTCAGTGGTCCCAACATACATGAACAATCTACCCAAGAACTCTTCGACACACATTAAACTGATCTTGTTTATTATTACTACTTTTAATTCAAATGCTAAGCCAAGAACAATGTTGAAAAAATATGGCATTATAATACGACCGATCGTCTGCAATGTTATTACACGATATTCTGATGATTATCATTAATCACATAATATATACTGACATATACCATGATTTCAATCGAAGAACTGTAAGAAACAATATTATTCAAAAATTGAATATTGGTTGTTGTTTCAGTTACACAGTAATACACACATATATGCATTGTTTCATGCTGGAATACTACATTGGCACAGTGAGATAGTTATTTCCAGAGTAGTGAAATTAGCCATGTCAACAGTAGTAATAGGAAACATTAGGTATAGAAAAGAAAAAAAATTTAACAGCATTCCGGAACTTAGATTATGAAAGAAAACAAGAAATGAGTGTTCATTTTTGAACAATGATAATTTACCGTAAAAAGACTGTTGACTTTTCATCACGAGCTGATCTTAATGAGGGTCGTGAATGGTCACTGATGAGAAGTTCCATATCAGGACAAAAGAGCCAACTAATATTTGGTGGTTTTCAATGATTGATTAAATAACATTTATTTATTCAAACACATAAACATCGGTACAAGGAGGCATCAAATAGATATGCACCACATAAATCATTCGATTTGTGTGAAGGCTGGGATGCTTCCCAGGTGCCCAAACCGAAACAGGTGGTTTCCTTAGGCGACCACAACCGGAGTCTTTGGTCTGAAGGTCTGATCCAAAAGGCAGTACAGCAACGTTAGAAGGTGCAGTCTCATGGCAACGGAGAACAATAATAGGTTTATACTCTATTTTCTCCCTCAGGATACCGGAGCCCATGTGCACCATTGGTTAGGAATCAGGGTTTTCCAGGTCCCCAAGGTGAACCCTCCGTGTCCACCGTCCTGCTTAAAGCGCCGGAAATTCGATTTTCGTCTTCTCAATTTCCTAAACAACATCTTTACAGCGAGAATGCAGTGAGTAGGACTTCCATGGCAATGGTTGTGTGCACGTGGCTATGTGAGAGTATTTTAAGAGGGAGAGCTAGCTCTCTCCACTCACGGCTGTACCAGGGCGTTTGTGAACATTAATTTACATTAAATGTACAAATTAAACAAAGCAAACAAAAACCAATAGCAACTAATTGTGTTTTCAATTACTTTCAAAAATTCTATGCTTAAAACACAAAATGTAGTTTATTCAAATTAACATAGATTTCCAAAATAGAACAATAACTTACAGTAATAGGTATACGAAATTCATTTAATAATCTTGTTCGTAAACTCATAAATTGTTCCAATGATAAAAAACCATCAGCTTGTGTTTTCGGTGTTTCATTTAGACCGACAAGAGCTAATAATGTTTTAGCTATTAAAGCAAATGCCTACAAATAATTAATACGATAATCATCACTTAAAAATATTATATTAAGTAGTAATGAAGAAAACAAATTATACTCATATGTATATAATTTTTATTAAGACTAGGTTGTAAGGCGAAACTATTCACAGATGAACTATACTAATAAATTATTTTGTTTAGTGACTAATGGGATGTATGTCAAGTACTGCTTATTGCTGATCGAATTTCATTGGACTAATCGCAACGCGGCTACTAGTCTACGGGAATCAACATCACGTGCACAATGTTGAAATATAAGGTGGGGGTTGGGGACAGTCAACAGAAAACCCTGTTTAATTTATGTTTCGTGCTATTCGCCACTCATTACCAAGGTGTCTTGTAATTTAGAGAAGAAAGATGTCCCCTAGTGGATGTGATCCCGTACCACTCAGCTTCACGGTCAGACAGATTACCACTGAGCTATTCACACCGCAACTAACCTCTTACATCATTGAAGTGTATTTACCACTGACTAATCTGTGAGTAGCGACTAATGTTGTGTATATCAAGTCCTTCATAGTGCTGACCAAATTCGATCGATCATGTTACGGACAAATCTAACTGACAAGTACCGAATAGCACGAAACCTAGGTTCAGGGTTCCCTATTGATTACCTTTAACCACCATCATACAACTTTGTTTAAATGCTTTCTATTATAAATAACCAAAAATCAAACCTCGATATATATTTAAATTGGTACATAAATATTGGTTCAGATTTAGTAAATAAGAAAATGGAGAGTGATAAAAATTCAACTAAAAGAACAAACAGAAATTAAAATTTACAAATGAATGATTGTTAGATAAATCAAATAAGAAACTTAAACAAAAGTAAATTTTCATTCAAAATCTCACAATGTTATAAAAGCCGAAATAGACGACATGGGACTAGCATTATTTCAATCAAAGTCCGACAAAGGAGAACACCTCAAATAGAATAATACTGTACACTTACTTCAGATGCATGTGATGGAACAGTTGGTGAATTCGCACCAGAATTTAATTGAGGAAAAGAAGACCATGAATGATAAGAAGAATTAGTAATTGAATTTGTATATGATGGATGGAAAGCATCATTAGGAAAACCAGATAAAATACCGTGAATAGATCCATTGAGCGATTCTGAACAAATTGTTTTACCCAAAGATGAAAGCGAATATAACACTGGACAAAGACCACGTAGAAAAACTAGATTACACACAACAACATTACTATGATTAGGTGAATATAAAGCCTGTAAAAGGAATTTAGGAAAAAAGGAGAACAAAAAAAGTAGTTCTCAGTATGGATGAACGAAGACTGTAGAATTTCATTAAAATCATGAGCCGATCTAAGTTAGATCACCAGTGAAAAACAAGAAGTACCCTGAAACAGCCATCCAGTGCTTCCAGGTTCCCAATAGTGGTCTAACTTATCAGTTCATGATTTCAATGAAAGACAAAATAATTCAAAATGATAAAAATTATACGACTAATAAAGTCTTGCCTTTAGTCCAAACAATTTAAACATTTAATAAAGTGTATAATCATACCACAGAAGTACAAAAAAAAGGATGGAAATATCTAGGAATATGACATTGACTTTTTGTAGTTAAATGATCATTTTGATATACCGGCAGGCAATATGTAACAATAAACTACATTATACGATTGTCTAAGGTAAAAAAAATAAGAAAGACCTTAGGTAATATGACTTATGATATACTGTAGTACAGCAAAGGTACTTGTTGTTTATCACTGACTTCTGCCAAAAACATGCGGAGTCGCGATATTATTCTTTTACATCATTCCTACTTCTCGAACCATATTATATATACTTAGTCTTCCATAACGACTACTATTACCACTAATATTTCAACTCGTCTGCAATGCTTATTGTCGATTTGCGTCGAGCTGTGCTAATATGATGTATCACCACCTAATAGTGATAAAAATTTATGTCAGATCCTATGTTGATCAAGACTGATTGCGTATCAAGATGTATTAGAATGTCTTAATTAGAGATGCTAATTTTCACTCTCAATATCCAATTTAATGAAAACCCCGCATAATAGAAGATAAGTCATTCACGTTTTATGCATATGCTTACGAAACCACTTTTTACAATCAACCTAATAGTAAAATGTTTGCATAGTGAGTTCGTAAATCCATTCTCTTAAAATCACGTAATTTTCTTGTAGAAACTACTAAACAACTACATTTCCCAGAACGTTTCCAAACGGTAGTTTCAGGATATACCACAAATATAAATGCTGATCACTTTGGACTTCATAAATTTACTTAAACGATGATACATCACTAAAAAAACAAGACATCAATAAACTTAAATTTTTGGACGATTTAAACAGGTTTAAGGAAAAACTCAGATAAAGTAATCATTCCCAACAACTACGTGTTAACAGTAATTACTATAGTATGACCACAGTGAATAAATCAATACAAATATACCTGTAATTCTGAATAGATCCAACGAATTTGTAAAGGAAATGTGCGTACATACGTAATCAAGTCATCCACAGCAATGGAGAGTAAATGGTGATGCCACTCTTGTTCACGTGTATGATGATGTTGAAGAGAACCTGAATCAAATATATAAATATGTATATATGCTAAGATTGTTTTAGTAAATATTATACGGAAAAGATGGCTCAGAATCGACCACAATGGCGTAGGTGTATACACTCTTTTTCTTCCCTTAAACTAAGAGATTAAAATTATTTCATACCTTTCTTTCTACGAACTAATGTCCTTACATAAAATGTTTCCTTTATATATTACACTATCGAGTTAACTGCTTCTATGAATCTGGTGTTCATCTTGCTGCGTTAATGAGGTGTGACAACTTGGACCGATGCATGTATGTGCCTGGTCCTACGTTGTAACTGACTGACTGACGGAAAAGATGATCAAACGAAAGAATACTACCGAATGACCTTGAAATGCTGATCCGTTTCGACCAATCAGAAAGCAATCGAAGCTTTATATAGTGTCAAAGTCAATGTGACATATATTTACTTAAAATTAATCATATAATTAATTTGAAAATTACGTAACTTACCTTGATTAGATGTAGTAGATGAGATTTGGTCGAATTTCACTGAACCAGTGGCACCAGTTGATAATGAATATGGACGTGTTGTAAGTGCATAATGTGAATTGGTAGAATTGGTACAATGATGAGAACTTTTATCAACAGAAGGACGTTGATTGAATGTTGATTTTATATTGCTAGCACTATTAATTTGACTTATATTAAGAGATGGGTTTGAAGATGTAGTTGAATGATTAGATTTTATTGACGGTGGACCTTCCAGAGCTTTTTCACATACACGTCGAAAACACTGACTACGCCAAGCTGAACACACAGTAGTACTATAGATATCTAGTATTTGTGCTCCCAATGAACTGCCCCGAAAAGAAGCACCTATAAATAAAATTTGCAAGTACATAAAGAAATACTATTATTAAATCAAATATCTGATGGTGTTTTTTAAACTCCGGATAATACATTCATCTCATATCTTATGATGTGTTATTTGAAGTAGATGGGTTATATGACACTCGTCACAGATGACAGCTAATTTTGCTCAACGTTATTATAGGTTTCTTTTTCTAGATATAACTCACCTAACAGGGAATTGACCAATTAAACTAGAGAATGTAGATGAGGCTAGTAAAACAAATGAATGAATGGTGGCTAGCAGTGGAATCCAGGACGCGCATTTCGTCCTACCATTTACATTTTTCAGTTACATGTTGCGAGGGATAGTAAGATATCTATTTACAAATCAGATCACAAATGTCTATTATATTATAAACGTAATATATAACATAAAACGAAGTAACTAACAAAAGAAACATACTTGGCTTATCATTATTTACTTCAATTCGTAGTAAATTGACAATCAACTCTAAATGACAATTCAATTCGATTGTTGTTAATAATAGACTGGTAACAAAATTCATTTGGTTCATATTGTGTGCAAATGATTTCCAAACATGAATACAAAGAGGTATGAATTCAGAATTCATATAGTTTCTTATTGTCTGTAAAAATATACAAAGGGAAAAACATACGGCCATTATGGGACCATAAGAGACAAAGTCAGTCAATTGTTTTTGAAGTGCACTAGGTTGACAAAGAATGTTGAGTTTCATTATATACGATGTCATGAAATGACCTAGGTTAGACAACCATCGAAAAACTGAAAGCATTGGACAACTGTCTCATTTTAGTATCAGACTAGTCAGTAATGTCTACTTACGACCCCACTGAGGACAGAACCGAATAACGCGAATTGACTGCATTTAAAAACCTAAACGACTGAATACTGACTTAATATCCTAAAGATTAAAAGCGTTTACCGATGAATCTGGAGGCCCTGGGTTTGATACCCGATAAGTTTGTGGATGGTCACTGATGAGATCCTAAACTAGGACCAAGCAGTCGCCTTTTTTATTTATTTTATTTGGTGGTACAAGAGGGTACCATATATATATGCGCCTCAGCCGCCCGAGGAACCCTGTTTTGATAAATCTTGATGTAAAGAATATTGCCTGTAACGTATACGGCTTTGAGTTAGCCTGTTTAACTTTGGTTGTCTAATGTTACAATTCACCTTATCAAATTGAAATAGAGGAAGAAGAAATGTAGCTTACAAATTATCGGTTGAAGTCAAGCGTTTTAGCTATAACCTCACGGGTTCCAGGCGTTACACCATTTGAATGTTGAAGACAATACTTTACACCAGTTTAAGTGATACCCAAACCAAATGACTCATTCAAATAAAAGTTTGAAAGTAGCACAGCGGATATAAAAAATTACTCAAGACGAAATTAATCCACTATCAGTATGGTACAAGCGCACAGTTTAACACCACAGTAAAACAAACTTGAAATTGACATTTTAGTCAATGTTATTTTATAGCAACTAACTGATTCCCCTGTTCGAGATGGATAGGATATACAAAGCGGAAATCATCAAGCTGCATCATGAGGTAAGCGCTAATTTGGAATCGTGAAGGGAAACAGAAAATTGGAAGAAACGTATTGTGCCGGGAATTGGAAGCAGACATTAATAGAATGAATAGCAACTGGAAAGGATTGCATAGGACAGAGTTCGATGGAGAATCCTGGTGGGCGGCCTATGCTTCCCTCCATGAGGGGTAACAGGCGTAAGTTATATATATATATATATATATATATATATATATATATATATATACTAAGTAAACTTGGTAAGACAAAATGGAAACAATAAAATTTGCAAAAACTGTAATTACCTGACGAAAACCTTCATAATATTGAAAAGGAATTACGTGTAATTCTTTATAAATAATGGATACTTGACCATTGCTACGTTCTTGCGTATCACATATTGAATAATGGAGAGGGGACGTTGACGATAATGAGAGAGATGCCGATGATGAATTACTAGCAGAAACTTGTTTATCATGATCTGCAATCGTAGAACCACCGGAATTTGTAGTAGCATTGTATTGGACTATATCAAAATCAATAGCGACTGGAAAAAAGACATTAAATATGAATTTATGAAAAAAATTATCACAAAAAATTGTCGAAAACTCTAAGAATGAGATACAGCTAACTGAATTGGATTACTTGAATGAATGTCTTCACGAAATACCGACGAGGAAAATGGTTATTTAAAACCTATTCTTGGTTTGTGATGACGGGAAGTGTTAGTACGGATACCTCGGCAGTTTATATAATAAACTTTGTACTTGCAGTAATCTGTACGTTGAAGTAAGCATTCCGTTGCACGAAAGGTGAATCGTGCAGGTTTTGTATATTAATGACTACAAATGGATCCTATATGGGCGTTTACGTGACGCGACAGAGATCGATGACGTTAGATTATAGAGTCCTAGCTAAAGAATCATGCTGTCCAATCTAACAAAAGGTTCGATCATACAAATTTCCAACGTGTAGTTAAGAGAGTGGTTTTTAGAAACCAGGATTAACCTTTCGTGAATTCAAATGGTGGTGTGTGCTACTGATGCGAAGACATAAGTAGTATGTATCATCATTCGAAAATAGAATGCATGGAGACAAAGGTTAAGAAGATAGACGGAAAGAGAATGAAAACAGAGAATGATTAGTGTGAAAACGAATGAACAGTAAAGTCTGAGACAATTGATTGATATTTTGCAAATGAAGTATTTACTGCATGATTCTCAGATTTTATCATGGGAGTGTGGCATCTTTAGGGTCGACCTTTTCTCACTCATTCCTCCCGTTGTGAGGCGAGATTGCTGCACATGCCAGTCTTCCGGAGAAAACACCTTCCTGCAACCACACCTCTCTAAATCAGAAGTACAACATTGCCTTAGGGCCTTAAGTTGCTGCTTTTATTTATTATTTATTTAATATCACATAGGTTTTGTGGATATTATAGTAATTTCAATGGTCAAGATCATGAGTCAGTTGAAGCTAGACCACTATGGAAAACATGGAAGCAATGGATGGCCGTTCCGTCCTTTTGTATGACTCCTCAGCAGTGCGCATCCACGATATTGACCATTGGAAGAAGTATATCCTGGAGTTCTGGTGAGAAGTAGTGACCGTTGGAGTTCAACCAGGTCTGCTTTGAGATGGTAACTCACTGAATACAATGGTGGATGTGTCGCTCAATTTCGTGGATTAGTTGAAGTTAGACATTACCACCGTTGAATGCCGGCTCAGTGGTTTAGTGGTTAAGTAGTCGCGCGAGAAACCAGAAGGTACTGGTTCCGAACCTCGCAGGGGACGAGGTCGTGAATGTGCACTGCTAGGGAGTCCCACAATAGGACAAAACGGCCGTCCAGTGCTTCCAGGTTTTCCTGTGTCGGTTCTAGTGATTAATATATACAACAATGATAGTTTCTTGTTTGACTCCTGTTCCATTGTGAAATTGATGTCATTGAAAACGTTGTTGATCAGCTTGTAAGAGTTTTCCAGCTCATTCGTTCTGACGATGACGAATGTGTCGTCCACATAGCGAATCCAAATTTTTGGCTTGATCACTGGTAATATCGCGGCTTCTAGTCTTTGCATCACTGTTTCTGCGATCAGTCTTGATATTGGTGACCCAATTGGTCTCCCTTTCGTTTATTTGTGGATTTTGTTGTTGAATTGAAAATATATTGTTAGGCATAAACCGATGAGTTCAAGTAGACTTGGAATTTAAAGCTTCGTGTACTTAGTGAGATTTGTGTCGTTGGTGAGAAGCAGGGATATAGTTTCTCTTGGTAACCTAGGTTCAATTGAGGTGAATAACGCCGTTACATCGAAGGATATCATCAGTTCTTCGTTGTTGATTTGAATGTCCCTATTTTGGTCCAGGAATTGTGTGGGGGATTTGATGGAGTGATTGGATGAATCTACTAAATGTTTCAGTATTCGTGAAATTTCTTTTGACAAATTGTATGTTGGCGTTCCGTGGAGTGCTACAATTGGACGTAGTGGAATGTTTGGTTTGTGCAGTCTCATGGCAACCGGCGAACAACAATAGGTTCATACTCCATTTGTTCCCTCAGGATACAGGAGCCCATGTGCACCATTGGTTAGGAATCAGGGTTTTCCAACTCCCCTAGGTGAACTCTCCGTATACACCAACCCAATTAAAGCGCCCAACATTTGCTTTCCATCCTCTCAATTTAGTAAAAAAACGCCCCCACCGCGTGAAGGCCACTTTTAGTTCAACCATTCTCTAAAGGATAATACGTTCCAACCAATATAGCTCGGATGAGCTGTCACGATAGGCAAGTCGACCAACACGTTAGAGTAGCAGACTCGTTTGAGGATTATGGTTGTCACAGCGGTCCATATACCAAGCATAGAAATAGTCTTGAAGATATTCAGCAAAAATTGATTAAGGCAAAAGGAGATTGATTCAAGCATATAAATAGATGTTAAACTCACCTTAAAAATAAAACTAAGCTTTTAACCCACTAAAAGAGCCACACACAAAAAAATAAAATATTCGAACGCGATAATAACCTAGAATAACTTCCATGATGAGTTTTAGTGCGAAAAAAACAGGAAATTAAAATTACAAAATAATGGAATAATTGATGTGGTTTTCTATGGCTATGATATTGCTCCAAGAAAATCTTACAGATGCAATTCAAGTGAAGAACGGTGCCAAACAAGGCTGTTAACTCTCATCACTTCTCTTTCTTCGGGTGGTTGACTGGATTATGGAGACCTTAACATCTCACAGAATGCACGGAATATAAGAGACAGATTGAATGCAACTAGACGATTCGGACTTAACAGATTACCTAGCTCTTCTGTCTCATACACCAACAAACGCTGATGAAGACAACTAGTATAGAAGCAGCCTCTGCATCAGTAGACCTCAATGTACAGAAAAAAAGGCATGATCCATAAATAAAACACACTTGATGGAGAAACTCTGGAAGAGGTGGAAACCATCAGGTACCTGGTCACCATCAACAATGAACGAAGAGGATCGGATCTAGACGTCAAGGGCGAAAATTAGCAAAGAAAGGGAAGCATTTATACCGTTGAAGAACATATGGGACTCAAAACAACTGTCAGTCAAGATCAAAATCAGAATTTTCAATATGAACGTCAAGACAGTTAGTTGCACTGCATGGAGCTGAAACTTGGAGAACTACAACAACCACCAAAAATGTACAATTATTTGTAAACAATTGTCTACGTAACATACTCAATATCCGTTGGTCGGATACCATCAGCAACAACCTACTATGGGAGAGAACAAACCAGATTCCAAATGAACAGGAAATTAAGAAAAAACCCTGGAGGTGGATAGGACATACAGTGAAGAAATCATCGATCTGCATCACAAATCAAGTGCTAACTTGGAATTCTGAAGGCCAAATTAAAAGCTTAAGAACAAAATATATATTGAGTTGGAAACTGGAGGCAGACATCAAAAGGATGAATGATACTTGGAGACAACTAGAGAGGAGAACCCAGGAAAGAGTTGGTTGGATAATACTGGTCGGTAGCTTATGCTCCACGAGTAGTAAGAGGCATAAGTAAGTAAACAAGTAAAACAATCTCAAGTGACCATTATTGTTAAATAGAAACGTCAACTTACGTGAACGTTTACGTTTATCTTCCTTCATAAAAACTTCAATCTTTTTGAAACCAAACGGAAATTCACTAGAAAAGAATAATGAATGACAATGGTTAAAAAATCCTCATTAAATGGTATTTGAGATTTGAATGTTCTCCTGTAATGTAACTTATTTCGAGAAACTCACAAATAATAAACTTTTGAATGATGAAAAATCTGTTCTAATGGTAAAATGTCCTCATGCTATAAGACGATATTAAGATATTACTACAACTCCATAGGCTAGAATATTGACTGGATCACATTATATCCAGATACAAAATTTACGACCATTAATTGAGAATCCGATAATGGGCCAGACAATAGTTTATTCAACGCCAATACTAGTAGTTCATATGCGATAAAACCCAGAATAAAAGTGAATAGTAGAAAGCAGTTCATGATATTGAATGGTATTTTATGGATTTGTCAAAACTGACTGTCTGTTCGTCATCGCTTACTCGTCAACCACATTCAACGTCCACTGGTTACAACAAATAGAAAAACACCTTCACGACATAATACATAAATCAAATAATAATTATCATACTGTCATCGTCACATAATAATTATTTTTCAAACATGATCTATAACAAAGATCGTAAAAGTTTTTTTATGAGTTTATAAAATACGTCATGTAGGAGATGATAGGTATTCAGGTCATTACCAAGTTCGTCATTACTTAGAAATAACGCTTAATTTCGACACGAAAAATATGATAAATAATTTATATCATTTTGCCACAATTCTCATTCATGCTTTTACAAACAGTAAACCAACCATAACAGATATGTACTGAACAGTTATATTTTATTCGGACTTTAGAAAGTTCACAATAAGAAGAAACACATCACAATCAACGTGACTTGTAAGAGAGGCCTACACAATCAATCACAGAAAGAATCGAAACAAATATTCAGAAATATAAACGTTAGTACATTTATCGCTAATACATTATAGATAAGTGTAAGACAGAAAGGAGGTTCATTTTTGATTAGGCAGCGCAAATCCAACGTTCAGCTCAGAGGACACAATACTTACAACATGCTGCAACTCGAGCTACAAATGTTCTGCATCATCTCAGTATAAAGACATTAGTCCAATACAAATTATCCTAAGACATGATTCTGAATGAAAATTACTCTTACTATTACTATGTACGAATAACCACATTTTAGTTACTTATTAACCCAATTGTTGTTAATAGTGACGATGATGCATCATATATAGATCCTATTAATTTCGTACCATCGTACTTCCCCTAACCCAATCTATACAACTGTATTATGTAAAAGTTAGTTGCGAAATTTAGCTGAGCGGACAAACTGTGGGTGAAAATGAGGTCGGCAATAAGTCAACTCAGAATACGAACCTTTAAATGAGCTTAAATGTAGTTCAACACGACAATGAATAAGACAGGTGGAAAAACAGATACATACTAACAAATTCATAGGAAATTTACATAGACGAAAGGTTAATTGTATATGAATACATATGATATAACCAATAAGATTACAATGATTAATATAACGGTTATATCAGTATTCCGTTCTATATCAGTCCACATAAGGGCTTGTAATAACCTGCTATGTGAATTCACGATATGATTGTATATTTAACTTTGTTTACACCACGAGTGCATTGAGCAGCTACACTAGCATTAACACCACAAACCACATTAGATAACCACCTTTTCTAAAACACACTAATAATTTTATCAACATTTATTAATGTAGAAAGGACAATTTATGACTTACTCTAAAAAAATAGAAACGACAGAAGACCCGGAGTAGGCACGTCCAATTTCAAATCCATCTAAATTTACAGAGTAAATTGAATCATCTCGGCGAGATTTTGATGATGACGTTGGCATTAATTTGGCATTATTGAACTAACAAAACAAAGGTGGAATCGAATAAGCAGACAAACAGAAACTGAAAGTTTATAAATGAAATATAAAGTAAATATTTATTCATTGAGAACGTCAAAGGTAGCAAATAAGAACACTGAGAAAAGAATTAAATTAAATGAGGACAGATTAAGTTGTCTAGCATTCAACTAAATACACGATCACTCCACGTGTCTTTATGGACCACTGACTAAACAAGATGATTTATGAACCAAAAGAATTTGATTATCCTTTCCATTTTAACGCTAAATTTACTTTATTGTATAAATAGATTCGAATAATTTACTCGGAATCATAAACACAGTGACTTTTTCCACATAGATTCGTCTTCATTCGAAAACTCGTAGCAACTGTACAGATGTATACGAGATATGTGATATAAGGAACAAAGAGGTAAAAGGCTCATAACCGTAAACAAAATAGTTATAAAAAAGGAATTCCATTCTCTGGAGCAATAGTTTACCTACGACTACAGACATCCATTATCAAACAAAACGGAATCGAGGTCTACACCTTTTTACCATTTGGTTTTGGCCATCGAACATAGTGATGTTATTTCCTAAACTATCTTGTCACATATCAGCTCATCCTGACTAAATAGTTAAATTTCCAAAGTGAAGTATACAAATTTTTGACTAAATATTGTGTAAATGCTAAAGTAATCACGGAGTCACTCAGTTTTTGTTCAGAACGCTAGGAATGGTGACATGTAAGGTTCTTATTGGAATTAAATTTTTCTCAAAATCTTTACCCTTTTCTGACTGGTCGGAATCACTTTTAATTCGCTAATCTCCTATATCCTTGAAGGTTATGCTTTTGTTACTATATTTGCTAAGTTGTACTATTTCTATTTGTTCCTGGTTAAATATCAGGATTTTCCTATACTTGGTTTTTTTCCAGTGTTAGCGGCTAATTTCTAAATCATCGGCTACCGTTGCCGTTTACGAGTCCGTCATATCAGAATAGCTCAATCGTTTCTTAATTAGCAAATACCACAGGTCAACTACAAACCCCAATAAACATGATAACACTTGACTTAACAATACGATACATCGTTAAACAGAAAAAAATCACCAGCTAGTGTTTGGCAATCTGCTCTAGACATTAGATACATAGAAAACACTTCGAATAAGTTTCACAAGACTGGTATTGTATTGCTTTCTGTGACTGACATGTTGTACAGAACTAAAATTTCATATTTAGGAAATAATTGCGTAAATAACGTAGTCTGATGGTTATTGATTGTCCTAAGCCAGTGATGATTACTTACTTGGTAATCGCATTCCGGTCTTCTAATAGCTGTTTAGCTAAGATCAGTGCGCGATTTACATTATGAAGATTGCATCATTGTATGCAACAAGTATGCAAAGAAATGTTTTATGCATGGAAAGTGATTTGACAGGGAACATTTAGCTCTTATAGACAGGTTATAAATCTTAGTGGTTGAAAAGTGTCTGTTATGTAGTACTGTGGTGTATGTAGTATGTAACATCAATCAGAAGTAGAATGCCTGGCAGCAGAAGGTTGAGAAGATTGAAATGAAGAGGAGAGAGGAAACTGAAAGCAATGAAGATAACAACAGGAATGAAGGAACTACGAAACTTGTAAGAGATAATTCGAAGATATGCAAACGGTGTATTTGATTTATGATTTTCACATTTTACTAAACCATTGTGTGATTATGTATTAAACAAAAAGATTGTTTTTATCCACTTGAGTGTTCGTTTATTATAATACTAATTTAGAACAAATGAATTAGGGTACCAACACACTTAAAAGTTATTTGAAATACACAATGGATCACGGAGAGAAAATAGTTGTCTTTTTTCTCCGTAAAGAGGGGTCTGTTTCTCATCGATTTATGGCAAAGCAGAATGCACAAAACCACTTAACTAACAAATGCATGAAATATCATATATGATTATGTTTATTTTTGTGTAAAACAACATGTGGGCAATGAAAGCAAGATATGATTGACCGGTGAGTGATGACGAACAGACAATCAGTTTTGACAAATATATGAAATACCATTCAATATCGTGGACTGCTTTCTACTTTTCACTTCTCTTCTAGGTTTTGTCGTGTATGAACTACTAGTATTGACGTTAAATAAACTATTGTTTGGTCCTGTTATATCCCGATGTGAATAATTAATTAATTAATAATTAGTTATCTCTTACATTTTTAATTATTAATGATAGTTAGGGAAAAAGGTTAAATTAGAATATTAAAAGTTGGGCTGGTGTTGTGAGTTAGGGTGATAATACTATAAGGTTTGCACTCCCAATTGACATAAGCTATAACGGAAAACAGTTAGGGTTATGTATTAGGAGTTAAACTAGAGCTACGTATTAGGATTACAAATTAGAATTAGGATTTTCATCATAGTGACACAAGTTATGATGCAATAATGTTTTGTCGCCCTTTTGTTTACAGACTTAAGAAACATAGAACTTAGATATAGAGTCAGAAGTTAGAGTGCGAGAAAGTTGTTATACAAACAGCTTTGACTATGAACTGAATGAAACCAAGAACTTCGATACATCAAGAGCAGATATTTCTTGTGATCCCTATTTGGTTGCTTAGTAGCTAGTTTTATCAGTTTCAAGTGTTTTTTTAAGAACCAAGTATTGTCAATTTTCACTTAGTTAATGAGAACCTAGCAGCTGTCCTGTAATACGCTTTTAACTCCATGCAAAGATCTACGAGGCACCATCTTGATTCTGATTGGTTCATTTAAGGCCGTAAGTATGGTATACTTCTACCGAAATAACCTGACTCTGATCAAGTAGCTTTCGATATTAATCGCTTTGATGGATTTCATGTCAGCGACCAACATAAATTTATATCAATATATCCTGAATATCTATAGTTAAATAACTATTCAACAATGAACACAACCAATTTACTGAGCATAGATACCTGAACATGCCTTTCAACCATACTGTTTAGGTGTTTAGATGAATCATGGAACTATTTGGTTATCCAGAACTGAAGTAGGTTAAGAGGAGCTTGAGAAGAAAAGTGAGTGACTGAAAACCAACAGCTTCAATCACCAAGTCATCTTTCCTCAGGACTGATCAATGCATTATTCATAGCCATAACCATACATCATACTACTTTCCTTTCAAAATGCCACAAAATTACTTAATTTTAAAGGAAAGGAAATTACCTAAAACTGCACAGTTATTTATCATACATATTTATCATATGAATAAAAATACTAAGCACAATGAATAGATATTGATTATTCATAAGAGAGGGGGAAACAAATTACCTTGATCTCAAGGTTGCGATAACATCTTAAGTTCGTTTGCCTAAGTGATACATTGTCTTCAGTTGCTGAATCGGCTTTTGTATTACGACAATGTCGTTTCAAACTCGTCACCCATCTTTGGTATACAATCTCCCAAGTGGCTGGTGGCAAATCACAATTATTATTATTATTTTCTGATAAATTGGTCACGTTCGGATAAGTTGATGATGACAACAAAGATTTATTATCTACAGAGGTTACATTTGAACGAACAGCCCAGTCACATGCAAAACGACAGCCTAGATAAATATTTTCAAAATACAAAAATCAGGTATAATTTGTTTAAACCTATCACGTATACATTCATCTGTAACTTCATACATATTACAAAAATGAAAGAATTTGGATTCATTACAGATTATAATTAACAAGTTTGGACGATACTAAAATCTGAAGCCCTAAATATTTACTCTGAATAAAACATTTCAAATAACAGCCGATAATCACAGTTACAACATGGACAAGTTATTTTAAACTCAAGGGGAATGAAAGTGAATAAACTAAGCTCAAAGCACTGAGACATTTCCTCTAAAGAGATAAGATTTATTGAAACCTATTAAGTTTGATTTTATATATTAAATATAATGAATTCCAGAGGATTGTAAGTTCAAATCCAGATGGTATATTCTGCCACTATAAAAGTTCCTTCATATCACACTTAAGGATTACTGAGGAAATTCAGTAAGATGATGTCTCTCATGGTGGAACATGCGCGAGGTTATTTGTTATATAAACATAAATATGAATATAATTAAAAGTTATTTATCTTTTCAATAAGACAGTGAAATGGTTTTAACTAAATGAGCCAACTACTTTAGAATAAAACTTGGTTAGAACTAATGACAAACAGTTGGTATACTGTCACAATAGGATAATCAGTAAAGAACACTTTTTACCGATAAAAGTGACAAATACCTGACCAAGTCTTGATTATGTTAAAGATAGTAAACTACAAAGATGATAAAATTGTCATGAAAATACATCATTACCCTGCTTGACTTGAATAGATATGATGCAATTACGCTACTGAAGTGATATACTTTAACTGCTCGAGATGATCTGTTTGTAAATGACGATCATTTAGATCATTACCAATATAGTTTCAAGAGTTGAGGTTTCTTTGAGAAAAACCAATAATTTACAAACATCACTGATCACAGAGTACTACTAAAAAAAGAAAGCAATATAAAACTATTTTGTCTTAGTATAGGACTCCTTAGCAGTGCATACTTACGACCTCACATAGGATTGAACCCAAGATGTCTTGGATTTACAGCCAGTGGCTAGTCATTTAGATGATTGTCTTTGGAATCCTTTGTACAAATTTTGAACTTCTAAAGAAATTCACTCCTGTAGCGGCAGTAAGACTTGGGTGATTGAGATCACACTTGTCAGTGATGAGACAGTTGTCACCAATGATTTCAGATGTGGGTCACTGGAGGTTGTTTCAGTTATGGGTGTGTACAGGGTCCCGTACAAGAATGAGAGAGATGTTCAGTACTACTCAATTTTCAACGGTATTATATATATATATATATATAAGGCTTACATGAGTGTGATAAGTTTTGAAGTGTGTACGGTGGTTCTTCAGGACGACCGGAATACGAATTAATATCTAAATCATAATTACTGAATAAATTAATTCGACTAGATATTGTTGAACTAATAGCACTTGAATGAAATTTATTTGATGAACATGGAGCTTCTACACGTAAAACAAATTCTTCTCGATCTCCCGCTGAAGCACCATATAAAACTAAACCAAAGCAAAAATTCTTTCTGAAAAACAAACAAAATATAAAAGAAAACAATAATTAACTTACATATACTTCATGGATTGATTTGAGCTACATAACTATTGACAAAAAATATAATAGAACCTGTGTAGACCAATAAGCGTTAAGATGCTCGATATTTATAGTCAATTATTTGGGGCATTAGTCAAAAGGTCATAAACATGATTTAGTGTAAGATGGAACTTATTATCAGTAGACTTTATAACCGATTAATCCTAGAAAGTGAGCATAGAAGAAGCTTAGATTTCTAATACACTACAAATATAGGTTATTACATAAACTATTATATCAATATCATTAGCGATGGTAATTAATTAAATGTAGATAAGCTTTTCTTCATAAATTATCATAATACAGAAACTTTTGACTCGTTTATATAAACGAACAATAAAACGTGATAAAAAGGAAACAAGAAAGATTAGTTATCGAATTTACATCCTTACACAATGCTGAACATTAAACTGTTTTAATAAATAATTACATGATAAAACTTTTAGCAAAAGAAACATTTTAAACTGTACGAAAAGGTATTAGATACCACAGAAAAATGACATTGATCTATTATTCCGATTTCCAAATTCACTCTACAGATAGTAAGTGGACGAAGTATACACTCCAGCATTTTTGGATGATGAAGCAAACTTTAAAGAGACATATATATGCATATAGAAAAAAACGGCTTACAGTATCTGTTAGCTGTTTCGATTCGTGTGAAACAGTTATCCAGTTATCACTGGTTTTCATTGACTGTTTGACTACGATTAGTTTGTGATGCAAAATATGACATTTGAAAAAATTCTCCGTAAACCCATTTATAGTAACGGTAATAAGTTAATATGATAAAAATCGCTGTTCATCGTTTGATTTTTAGTTTCCGAATAAACGTGTTTATCATGAAACATAATTGACAGAATAACGACCGTTCTCAACTATAACTGTTTACTTTAAAATCATGATTGCACTCTGCAATCATTGCTTGTGTTTATTTATTTATTTGAACACATAAATATTGGTATGAAGGGGCACAAAATAGATATACGCCACACAAGTTACTTGATTTGTGTGTGGGCTGTGATACTGCTCAGGTGTTTGTGTGCGAGATGCTTATATAGCCTAACCTTATATTATTCGATTGTTAAATTTACGTGTACTTTTTTTTCACCTTGTTGCCGAATAACAGCTAGTACAAAACCTAGTAACACGATCTCCTTCCTAATACCTGAGGTCACTTAAAACATTATTGTTAAGTGAACATGGTATCTAAACAGTTAAAACAATCAGTTCTCAACCCTTGAGTTGTAAGTTCGAATACCACATGCTTTCTGTTCGTTCGAGTTCCAGCGTTGAGAAGGGATTTTATAAGCTGTTGAACAAAATGTGACTTGAAAGTTGAATTCTCCTATTTTTAGTAATAAAAAAGGGTGTCATATAAAAATTATTGTTAGAAAAAATCCATGATGCAATATCTACGAATGCATCAACGACCACACACATATATAAACAGTGAACTTAAGAAAAACGTGTTTTTAAGATAATTCATTCATTTAGAAAATATATAGTGCAAAGCGTATTAAATACGTAACTAACTTCAAGCTTACTAATCACAAGTTAACCTATTTAACGGAAATAAAGGTATTTACTATTAAGTGATAAATAGTAGTTTACTCATTATAACATTTTACTGCATCAGTACATTAATTTTAGTAATAAAATATTATAGTTGATACATATTTTACGTATCTAACTTACTGTAGTGTCAGTTATTATGTTAAGCCCGTATACTTTATTCTAACTTTCGGACAGGCCAATCTATTCATTCTACTTTAGTCATATTTTGACCTTGTTAATTATTCGCTTATCAGTCTTGACTGTTTTTATATGAACGTATATGTGTGTACATTTCATATCCCAAGTCTCATCACATGTCTGTAGTTTATTTTGTCTGACTATAAATATTGAGTAACGCCTGGCTAAAAATGAGTTGGCTTACAAGCCATCTACACTGCGCATCATTTTGCTTTGTTCTATTCCGTTCACTTTACATACAAAATATATGTATTCAAAGGCCATTCTCGTTAATTGACTTATCTAAATTCCGTTAATGACCAACGTGATTTAAGTCGATGATTGTATACGAGGATAGGTGATAACAAATATTCGTATGATCTAAATGGAGCCAGATCCACGGGCCACAAAATGACCGGTTGAAATAAAGAAAACAATTAAACAATCGTGCAACATCAAACTAGTGACAAGAAATGGAGCTTAGAAAACTTATATAACTAACTTTTAACTGTTTCATCAATGAAGTTATCAATAAAAATTGATCTACTAGTATGAAAATTTGTGAAGATAGTTGAATTCTGTAGTTTATATCACGAACTGACTTTAGTTGACTAAAGCTAGAAATCCAAATCAATATGTGCGAACTCAACGGTCTCGAGGTTAGCGTTCATCTCTAGACCTAAATGTCTTGGATTTGATTCCCTGTGGAAAGATTATGAATGCGTACTCCTAAGTACCATATTAGGACGGAACGGCACCCAGTGTTTACAGGTTTTCAGTGTTAAGGTAACCAATATCAGTTTGTGAGATAAAGTCAATGATTGAAAATAGAAATGATAAAATTTAATACTTACTCATATACTGTATAATGGATAGGAAAGAAATCACATTTAGAAAGATCAAATCGTTCAGGTTTACGTTTTTCTCCATCAACCAATGTTAGTATACTTTGTTTTCTATCTAAATGTGCATAACATAATTTCCATTTCTTTCTTTGTTGTAACCCTAGTAGCCAGTTGAAAAGGTGATTTAATTTAGATTAAAATAATAACAAATATTAAATATAAGAACATGTTAGATACATTTAGATATTTTAGTATTTTTTAATGAATAAGAGATGTGATAGACAAAATAACTATTAAACAATATTTGTTAGAAACAATGAGTACTTAATAAAAGCTTTTTAATGTACTCTAAGAATAATGATTACGCTAGAATTATTGCGTCATCATGTTGAAATCCATAAGGCTGATATAGTAATGAGTAAAGCATTTGTAATATAAATCTACGTAAACGTGAAACATTTTTAAGTAATACAGAATGTTAAGATACGAAACGTTTTGATAGTAGTGTAAAAAACAAACAAACTAGAAACTTCATGTGATCATTAAGGTAACTATTTACAACTAACGTCGGACAGTTGTTACTAGGGAAAGCTAAAATATATGTATCGGAGCATTTCGACAATTTCTACAAAGTTGTTTTGTTTTTTTTAATCAAAGAATTAGTACTCTTACATCAATAAATTTTTGAGCAGCACTGAACATTAAATTACTCGGCTAACTATTTCATCTACATTAAAATGTTCATATTTATGTGAGATTAAATGAAAACATTAGTATTATTCACCAACTAAATTAACTTCACTTACAACATATCTGGAGTTACTGCTAGTCCTAATAGCAGAAAAAGGAGGACTAGGTAGTGGAGTTAGCGACCGTACATCGTCAAAACGAAATCAGTTAGAGAGTTGCTAACTATGGAAAACCAACTCAACTCTGGCCTGGAAGTTGAAAAAAACTCCAAACGCAAGAGTTATGATGTCTCATGGTGAGAGCCAAGATTCTCCGAAAGTAACGAGGGCAACACTCATTTTAGCAGCCAGCGCAACAATAAATATAGGTACATGGAATGTCCTAACAATGTGAGAGGCTGGAAAAACCAGTCAAACATCTGTGAAAAAGGGAAGATACAACCTGATAGTTCCTGGAATAAGTGAAATTTATAGGACGTAAAATGGACAGGAAAGATTAGTTTCGGAAGAGTTGTTGTTGGACTCAGGTCATGAAGAAGAAAACCACTCACACATATAAGAAGTTTCACTGATGCTCTTCCAGCAACGTACAAAAGACATTTGTGGGATGGGGAACTCATGGATCCAGGATCATCAAACAATTCTTCAAAATAAGGAAGGGAAGGATTATAACGGACGTCATTTAGCTTTACGCACCCACCAATAGTTGATGTGAAAGCAATAGAGACCAGTTTTATGAAAGGTCGTAATCCATCACGGAGAACTATACAGAACAAAATCTAACAATCCTGATGTGGAACCTAAACACGAAGTTCGGGATGGACAACACCAGGTACGGAAGTATTATGAGGTTGCATGAAGTGGGGAAAAGAAATAAGAATTGTGAGAGATTCGCAAATGTGTGTACTTTCAACAATATGGTTATAAGTGGGATTATTTCCTTCCCTCCCATAAATGCAAACACGCTGCATGGATTTCACTAGACCATATGAAAGAAAATAAGATAAATATATATGAAAAAAATAATAAGTTCAGAAGGTTCATGAATAACGTTAGAATTGGGTGTCCGATTCGTCTTCGTTAACTGGTCAATGATAATGTACTTTCATTAGGTATAAATTAAATACATTGATAGTAAACGAACTACATGTTGTTCCAAACTCAACAGATACAACGGGGTGTTAATCATTCTTTTCTAAGCTGTTTCATCCAAATACTTGTAGGTTGTTCGAATAATTCAATAAAACTTAAATGATATCTACAGAAAATATCAACTTACAAATAGACAATTCCCCATGAATTTCAGTTACCGATTGATGAGATGTTGGTGGTTGACGTGCATAACACATATCCATATAAATAGTAGACGAGGGAGGATGTACTTGAGGCTTTCAATTAATAAAAACAAAGAAATGTAACAATTAGATCCACATATACATATCGAAAATAAGAGTAACACAGTTAAAATTTCATACTACTACTCAATGTTGATTGATCAGCAAGACAAACTTGTCAGGTTTTAGTGGAAACACTGACCTGTTCAAGTGTTTCACAAATTGGCATGTTCCACTATCATGACATTTTTAGCAATGAAATGTAAAGAGTGAATATTTTTTCAGTATGAAATTGATTACAGCCAAAATTATTAAAGTTGTAACAATTTATTGATTGAGACGCGAATAGACCGGCCGATACATTAAAAGTATAATCTATCAAGCTATGAAGTTAGAAAATTATCTTTTTAACAATAGGCAACGGTTGTTACTACTAAGGCTAATGGAAGAGAATTTAAAACCTGTTCATTCCTAAACGTAGGTATTTACATGAAAATCAAATTCTACATATTACAAGACTATACAGCTTGTTTTCATTACATTCCTATTATGTACAAAATTAGATTGGTAGCTTTTACACAATCTCCGTGGAATTTTACAGCTTACATCACAGAATGACCTTCGTTAGACAACCTTTGTAAACGAGAAGATACTTCACATTTGATTCTTCCTAATATGGGGCTCCTTGGTAGTGCGCTACACGGTAATATCATCTCACTAATAATTATAAAACCAGATATTTAAGATCCATAATAAATGGCTAGTAGGCATGCTAAAACTATGGTACAATTATTGTACTTCATGAAGACTGATCATTCCCTCAGATGACCTATCCATAATACGGAAATGTTTATGCTAGACACTGTTGATCCCACTTAATTCATCGAATGACTACTCATTAAAAGCCATATGACGACGTAACTTTATGTTCATCTAGATAATTATAATATGTGAATGCGAATAAGCATGATAATTTTTAAGATAATTAAAGAAAGATAATGGAAAGCTGTGAAATGTTAGAGATATACATCATTTTGTAAAATATGTGTGGACTACTAAAGTTGTCAAAAATGGTTCGATGACGACAATCATTGACATGATATACTTCCCTTTGTTGTACTTAACATGATTTTCTTATGCACTCGTACATTATTTATTTATAAACATTTTGTTGTTTTACAGCCGGATATGACCTGTCAAGAATAAAACGTACTTACGAATCATTTAGCTGGTTCACACTATTAGAATGTGATTTACTCAACGATGTCCGAATGCCTGACATCTAAATGTAGTGCACGAGATTTCGAGCCATTTAGACTAGTGGCCGGATTGCCATTTGATAAATATGATTTACTCAGCGCTAAGGCCTAGACAAACGTAAAATTGTTCACTCAGTGACCAGTCAATCGCATATATCTTAGTTTTACAGGAAGTCAATCATAGCCCTCAATGACAATGCCTCAAACTGTGAAACTGTGTATCGCCGATTTTAATCCCCAATGAAGCATCGGTCCACTCAAAATTCCAGGTACGCCTTGTTGACGAGTAGCGAATAGCACAAAACACAGGTCTGTGGTTTTCAACCGCTTATCATGAATAGTATAGAAATACCTTGAAAAATGAACACTAAATTAAGACAATACAAACAAACAATATTCTTCTCAATAAATTCTTATCACGTTCTACAAACATACATTTGGATTCTCTATCAATCATTAGTCTGGACTTATAACAAGAATCTGATGGTAATTTATTACGAAGAATATTTCGACAGTATTCTATGACAATTGACATACTGTCGCAGAACGAGATCCAGATTCACAATATTTTCTGAATACAGTCAGTCAGCTACAATGTAAGATCAGGCACACATATGCATCGGTCCAAGTCGCCTCATAAGCAGGACAAGACGGTCACCAAATACATAGAAGCAGTTACTTTAATGGTAATTTGTAAAAAAAGATTGCGTATGAGGAAATGATACAGCGAGAAAGAATTAGTTCGTAGAAAGAAATGTACAAAGTAATTTTAATCTCACAGTTAAAGGGAAGACAAAGAGTGTATACATCTACGCTATTGTGATCGATTCTGAGCTTTGTCACGCAGAGTCTCCAACCATTGATCACAATAGTCACATGGACCCCAACCAAGTATTTCGCATTTACTAACGTGGCTCGGACCAGACGTTAGTAACTTCGAGGACTGATGCCTAGTTTTGGTTTGGGCGACAACAAGTGTATATTTGATAAGTTTGCTATCTGAGCTCTCGTTACAGGTCTTCCTGCCCGTTTGCCATAACAACAGACTATCACTAAACTCCAACACGAACAAAAAATAAAGCGCGAAATATGAGTATATGTTTTACTCCAGGGTTACATTGGTACAGAAAATCGAGTGTGTTCACAGCTTTTTATACGACTTTCACTTTCTAAAAACTCCCGAAAACGCATTAAATAGGGTAATTAACCAATCACAGAGTGAAACATAATCCTTCATTTATTCTGGATGTTTCTGAAATGCTTCTATTCAGTGATAATCGGATAAAACGTTTAGTGTGTTTATATGGGCCTCTAGAAACTTTTGTTAAGGGAATTTATATATGGACTCCTAACAATATTATTCATTAACTTTAAAAGACACTAAAGTATTTCATACATCACACTTCTAAAGAAAAAAATGACTAAAAACCCTTTCAATATAAACATCTTATAGCAACACTCCTCTACAATTAATTTTGATTACGGTTAATTTTGTCAAGCCCTTTAATTAACTCATTTAACAGGCAGTGTTATTTGGGTGGTAACAATTTGTTTATTTCTTTGTATTATATTATGATCACTATCATAGCTGTATAAACGTGTGCGTTTCATCACATGTGGCAGCCTACGCACATAATTCTTACTCTAGCTTAAATGTTAATCCTTTAAATATCGCTCGATGGATCATCCACTTTCCCATATTCGCTTGCTCGTACGCATCAGCCTTTATGCTCGAATCCGATCGATGTGCTTGCAACTTTTTTATCTGTGCTATCAAATAACAAACTAGAGTTGACGCTTCGTATTGCCTTCTAAATTCGTACACCGTTGGGATTTATTTAATAACAGTTATCAGAGTGATCAATAAACGAAGCCTAACGAATTGTCTCGAAGTCAAGCCGCTACAACCTAAACACCATAAGAAAAATCGAATATTAAGCAATTATACAGCATAATTTTATTTAATAATAATAAAAACCTACTTTACGCTTCCTGTAGAGAGGTTTAAATACATGTTGAACTGTTGTATTAATATTTGAACTATCTACTGATGAAATATCATTTGTTGCATTTACATTAACCTCATCATTAATTGGACAATTACATCCATCATCGGAAATATTTAAAGTGTTCAATTCTTCAGTATGATAAAGATCCCAATGATGTGATTCAATAGCTGTGATTACAGCTTCAACATTAGGAAAAGTTGTACCGCTATACAGTATTTTAGTAGTTGTACGATAAAGAGGAGATTGAAAATTTCTATTAAAATTTACAAATTCATTTGTACTATGATTATCTTCTAAATTTTTATTAGTTAAAAATATTTTATTAGATTTTCTATTAAATTCATCTGATTTATCATCTTCATTATTACTACTACATGATAATGATTCATTATTGAATTCATTTGTATGTTCATCTAAAGTTCACTATTCCTATGATCAAAATTACTATCATGATTGGTTTTCTTGGTCGGTGTAACATCATCTTGTGGTATAAGCTCCGATTGAACAATTAATTCAAGTCGACATTTACGAACACGTACTCCATCGTATAAGAGTAATGTATATAGGCCAGGACGTGAATCACAAGGGCGTAATAAATAGCTAAATGGACCAGCTGTCAAAAGAAAATGTAGTACATAAATTTATGATGTTTAGTCCTGATAAAATGTTACTACATAATCAAGAAACAGAAATATCACCTTCATAAAAGACTCAAAATAAAACTACAGTGCTATTCATCTGGCTGCCCAAACAGAATTAAATGGAACCAAAGTTAAAAACATCCAGAATTTTTTCCCACTAGTGAATATACCTATATGATGATAAATTAAGACTAGCAATTCTTATTTTGCATTCCCTGTGCATATAACTCTTGTTTGAACAGGTCTAATAACTAAGCGTCATTCTTAATTTTATCAACCAAATGTACTCATTCTTGAATGGGCAATTACTTTTTATGTTTTTGTATGCCAGAATGTATACATGAAGTACTGATATTCTGTAAAATCTATGAATATAGACAAGTTGAGATTATTTAGCGATTTCGAGGACATGTCAGCTTACTATTTCACCGATTTACGCTCAATGTCGATCTCCATAAATCAATATATGAGATATACTTACCTGGACGACTTTCTCCTACTCGACGTTTACAATTATGATGTTATTAACCAGAACAGTAGAAAGAATATTAAACGACGTTATCATATGGATTTCATATTTCGCATAGATTCATTGATGGTTATGAGACAACTAATCTAAATAAATGCAGGTTACAGGATGTGAGAACAACGATTTGAAGACATTGAACTCTGCCCTCTATTTTCAAAAGTTGTTTCATAGTTATAAAGTAATACGAGCAATTTCGTTAGTACCCTTCTGGGGTTACTGCCAGTGTCCCAACCCCGGGTAAAAGGGGAGAGTTGGACATGGAGTCAGCGACCCCATCTCGTAAGAAACAACCTTGCTAAAAAAATCTAACCAGAATGAGCAAATTAAAGCATTTAAACTCTTTCCTGCGAGATGAAGGATTTTCATTCAGAAGAGTTATGAAGCCTCATGGAGAGAGCCGAGGTTCTTCGGAGTCACGAGACCGATGCTCCCTCTAACAACAACAACAATTATTATTATTATAAGTATATGGAATGTTCGGACAATGTGGGGAACCGAGGGGACCAATCTAATAGCTACAGAAATGAGGAGATACAACATAGTCGTGCTTCGAATAAGTGAAACCCATTGGAACCAAATTGGACAAAAAAGGATAGATTCGGGAAAGATGATGCTGCACTCCGAGCACGAGGAAGAAAATGCTCCACACACTCAGGGAATCGCTCTGATGCTGTACAAATAAGTAGGTAGAACACTTATAGAATAGGAGTCTCATGAACCCAGAATCATCAAAACATCCTTCAAAACAAACAAGGAGGGAATCACAACGAATGTTATCCAGTGCTGTGTGTCCAACAATGATAGCAACGACGACAATAAAGATAAGTTTTATGAGAGGCTGAAATCAATCGTAGTGAAGTGTTCAGGAAACGAACTGACAATCCCTGATGGGAGACTTAAACACCAAAGTCGGAATGGACAACATTGGATATGAAGATATCATGGGACGACATGGACTAGGAGAAAGGAACGAGAATGGTGACATTTTCAAATTTATGTGCATTTAATAAATTGGTTATAGGAGATACAATATTCCCACACAGACGAATACACAGAGCTACATAGGTCGCATCAGATCACACTACAGGAATCATATCGATCATATTTGCATCACTAAAAAACTCAGGTCAATGAAAAGCGTGAGAACTAGGAGAGGAGTAGACACAGCTTCAGATCACCACCTGTTGTTTTCCAAGACGAAATTGAAACCAAGGAAGCGCTGAACAACTGGAGAAACAGCATTACAAAAGTCCAATAAAGCCTTCCTACGAGATACTAACAAACTCAACGAATTCAAGATAGCTCTCAACAACATGTTTCAAGACTTACAAGATCTACTCAAGGAAGAAGAAACTACCATGAAAAACAACTGGAAAGGGATAAAAGAAACATTAAGTTCAACGTTTCAGAAGGTTCAGAGTTTCAAGAAGCATCATCATAAGGAATAGGATCTCTATCAACACCCATGGCATATTCAAGAAAGGAAGAACAAGACAACAATTAATAACAGTCGAACAAGGACAGAGAAAGTCAAGGCACAAGCTGAATACACTGAAGCAAACAAGCAACTGAAGAGGAGTGTTAGAGCCGACGAGCAGAAATACGTGGAAGAGCTAGCAACGACAGCGGAAAAAGCTACAACAGAAGGAAATATGAGGCTACTATATGACACAATGGAGAAACTATCAGGGAAATATAGTAAACCAGAGAGATCGGGAAAGGACAAACAAGGCAAGACAATCACCGAGATTCAAGAACAGAGGAACAGATAGGTAGAATACTTCGAGGAATTCTAGAATAGACCAGCTCCATTAAATCCACCGGATATCGAGGTAGCACGTACAGGTTTTCCTATATATGTCACTCTACCAACGGTCAAAGAAATCAGGATGGCCATCAGACAAATCAAGAGCGGGAAGGCAACAGGACCTGACAATATACCAGATAAAGCTCTGAAGTCAGACATAGGAGCAATTGTAAACATGCTTCACGTTCTATTCAGGAGGATTTGGGAAGGACAAGTGCCGATGGACTGGAAAGAAGGACATCCCATCAAGATACCAAAGAAAGCATCCCGAACAATGCAGCCATGTTCGGGATGCGATTCTCCCCCTCGAAATCCAAAATGTTGCTTCAGGATTGGGTTGCATTGACACCCGAACTAATGATAGGGAGTGAAGTAAGTGAGCGTGTCGATCGCTTCACTTATCTTGGAAGTCTCATCAGCCCTTGTGGTCTGGTGTGTGACGAAATCTCAGCACGGATACAGAAGGCTCGACTAGCTTTTACCAACTTGCGTCATTTATGGCGTAGGCGAGATATCCGTCTATCAACCAAAGGACGAGTTTACTGTGCAGCAGTTCGTTCCGTCCTACTTTATGGCAGTGAAACATGGCCGGTAAGAGTAAAGTATATTCGTAGGTTACTAGTATTTGATCATAGGTGTCTTCGAAATATTGCTCGTATATCGTGGGACCATCGAGTAAGTAATGCAGTTGTTAGGAAACGGGTACTAGGTAAGGATGGTAAATCAATTGATGAAGTAGTGAAACTTCATCAGTTGAGATGGCTGGGACACGTGTTACGTATGCCCAACGACCGGCTGCCTCGACGTGCGATGTTCAGTGGTACAGGAGTAGGTTGGAAGAAAGCTAGGGGCGGCCAGACCAAAACATGGCACAAGTCCATGAAGTCACTGACAAGTGGTCTGAGTCATGTCGGTAGGTGTAGACTACCTGGTTGGGGACCGCGAGATGATAGCAACCGATGGTTAGAGACCCTGAATGACATGGCTCAAAATCGTTTGCAATGGCGCAGGTGCATACACTCTTTGTGTTCTCCCGAATTTTGATCTCCTGATTCCTCCTTGTCTCTTTTTTTTCTCCTCTCAAATTTATTTCACTGGATTATACTCTTTACGTAACATCTCCAAACACTAATCTTCCCTACTACTGCTTATACTCTTATTACCTCTACTACTACGGGATTTGAATCGACCACTGCATCTCTATGCTAATGCGGTGTGGCAACTCGAACTGATGTACGTACGTACGAAGTTCTACGTTGTTACTGACTGACTGACTGAAGCAAGTGTGATGACAAAGAAGGCAACACGCACACACGGTGGATGTAGCTAGACGATTTGGACTTCGCAGATGACCGAGATCTTCTATCGAATACACAAAAAAAATACAGATGAAGACAGTTAATGTGGCAACAACTGAGATGTAATACACGATTATAAGGTTGACCATCATATACAGTGCTACCAATTGTGAAGTCAGAAATTTGGGAACACTGGACAGATGATTATCTTTAGTTCGAGGTTTTGATTGGTAATGTACACTAATAATTCATCCCGGGATTATTCGAAAATTAACTTATTCACTAGGTACTTAGGCATGAGTCAAACTTTAAGCGTGAGGACCAATGATACTGTGGCGTATGCTACTTATGTCTGTCGACGTAAGTAGTATGTAACACCAATCGGAAGTGGAAAACCTGGCAGCAGAAGATCATATAGGTTGACTTGAAGAGAACAGGACGGAATTAGAAAGGAATTTTGAATAGGAAGAATCATACAGAAAGTGAAAGACAAATGATGTAAATTTGCAACTGAAGTATTTAATGTATAGTTCTCATATTTTACCAAGATACTGTGTAATTTTGCATCAAAATACACCAGTTGTCTCCACCTTTGTTGTTGTTCATTACAATACTACCCAGTTGCTTAAATTGAAGTAGATGGAGAGGAGTTCAAGCCTGGAACTTAGTGGTTGAAAGTCGAACACCCTAACCACTAAGCTACAGCCAGGATTATAGTGATGAAAAATCAGTTAAATTGTTAAGGAAAAAATGAAAAGAACTAAGTTTATGATGAGGTTTCATATCAACTGATAATCTTGGCTCCTTTTTTAGACAACTGGACAGAAAATAAAGAAATCAGTTGGATTTTTTTCATCGACTCTAGCATGTATGTTAAATAGTCAGAAGCTATGAAGTTCATCGAAGCGCCAGCAATTGACTGGATAAAAAAAATGTACTGTTATTCATCCCTTGATTAATCAAAGCTCTTATAAAATGAAATAGTTTTTCTGATGTATTTTTGCTTGGTTTAACAGTAATTCACACAATGAAATAATGTTAAATGAAAAGCTCTTGAAAAAGAAAAACCCTGGACAATATTTTTGTTCTAATTTGACACTTATTTAGCTATGAGCACGAACAACTTTACACTGGACTAAATCTAGGCAAATTCAAATTTAACGATATGTATCATATTTCTAAGCACTCAAGTGAAAATTCAATGATGCATTTAGAGTAATCTATATTTACCATAAATTTTACACTGTACACAATGAGAAACGAGTGATTAGACCGAAATTTATTTATTAAAAGTAGTGCTTAGTTCGGTGTTATAAAAATAGACAACAATTTTCATGCATGCATATATATGTGTATATACGCAAATACATAATATAGATTTTCAATACTACTGATGTTAAACACTCGCTACAAATATTAAAAATACTCAAATCAACAAACTAAAAGGATAACAGAAGTAAAAGAAGGACTATATAGGAAAAATAAAACAATTTTCATACGTAATCTAACCTTTCTTTAGTAACTCTTTAGGATGAGGTGTTGGATCAGGGTGGAAGAAGTCTAAACGTTCAATAATCTCTGGATATTCTTTCTAAAAATTTAAAAGCCTAGTATTAAATAGACACCTTGAATATAGTATTTAAAAATATTAGAAATAGTTCAATAAGATGCATGATACGTTTTAACTTGATTTAAACATGCAGAAACCATTTACTGGTGGTTCATCTGAATATACAATCATAATAATATCAAGTTTATTTGCTTAATTAGGCTTTTAATTGAAGATCTTTTTGTGATTTCACTCTTACTTTATGAAGGAGACAGGTTTCAAAGAACTTAACTCAAAAATATATAAATATTAATGGCCAAGGTTTCCAGCTCAGGTGAATACTTTTGATGGTGTCATATCTGAATTGAATCACGTCTAATTCATATATAACTTAGTGCTAGAGCACATCGTAACATCAGCTAGGTGTCTTTGGAATGTAACCTTGAAAGATCGAACACAAAAACAGTGGATTAAACCAGTTTCGAACTATTTGTTAGACTCTGTGGTTACACTCACTCAAGTCAGATAAACTTTTTGATATCTTATACATAAATGTTTAATTCGAAAGCTTGAATTAGGGTGAAATCTTAAACTTTAGATAAATAAAACACCAACCATTTATGGTTAGTAACTGTTCGCTAAATATACCGAGTCTACCTTTATTTTGCTCGATAATGAAACCATAATGATGTACCATACAGTTATATTTTATTACATTTCCAGTTATACTAATAAAATCGTTACAATGAGAAACGTAAACTGATGGCTGATGTAAGTGGAGGTTGGAAGAAACGTAGGGGTTGACAAACCGAGACATATCATTAGTCTATGAAGACACTGACTGTTGAACTGAACCCGGTAGGTAAGTGCAGACTACCTGGTTGGGGTCAGCCTGATTATCGTAACCGATGACTAGAGACTGTGAATGAAATGGCTCAAAATCGTTCGCGATACTGTATGGGTGCACTTAATATTTGTCTTCCTTTAGATTCGAAGTTTCTTAACTCCTCGTAAATTTTTTTCTATTATTTCACTGATTCATCTTTTTTAGAATTGCATTATAGATGCCTAATCTCTTATGTGACTACTAATCCTGTTAATACATCTACTACAGTTTAACAATGGGGCATGGCAACTTTAACCAAAATATGGCCCCCAAATAGCCTGGTACGGCCGAGGGTAGGGAGAGTCCACTTCGCCTCGAAGCGCTCTCACATGGCCTCGCGTATACAGTCACCAACAAGGAAGTCCCACACACTGCTTTCTAGCGGCACGGGTGTTGTTAACGAAGTCGAGAGGGCGAAAAGCGAATGTTCGGCGCTCAAACAGGGTTAGCAGGTCCAGAGGATCCACCTACTTGAAAAAAAAGTGACTCTAAACCAGTGGGCTACAGGGCCCTAGGAGAACAAAGGGCGTATAAACCTATTCCTAGTCGCCGGCTGCCGTGAGATCGCATCCCCCCAACGTCGCTCCACTGCTTTATAGATTAGACCTCAAGGTCAAAGACTCGGTAGTTGGCCGCCTAAGAAAACCACCTGCTTCGGTTTGGGCACCCAGGGAGTATCCCAACTAACACAGATTCGATTATTTGTGTGGCGCATACATATTCGGTGCCTGCTTGTACCAATGTTTATGTGTCTAAAAAAATGAATAAAATAAAATCAATATATACATGTCCCAAATTCTACGTTATGTTTGACTGACCGATTGACTGTATATGTTTTTACATTATGTATTAAAGACTATATTATTTTGAACACAAGGAATAAAAAGATCGTAATAGTAGGTATACAACCATTTGAAAAATTTATTGGCATTTAAATATCCCACAAAAGGTATCAAATAAAAGTAAAACTTACCTCAACACATGATTTCGGTAAATAACCTGAGTGACGAGATTTCAAAGAAGTAGCAAGGATCCAATCGGAATTTGGATCTTCATAGATTAGTAAGAAACGATCATTAACGACACATCTATAAGATATAAATATCGAAACAATCAATCAAACTCTCAATCATGAGAAAGCAATACTTTGAGGAAGTGTACGTATTGTACTACACAAATCACAATAGATCACTAATATCTCGGAAAAACATAGACACACGTCAATATGAACTTTGATCACGAACAGTGTTGATACGAGTCTAATCCTTTTTACAGGTGTAAACTTCTGGTGGACCAGGAAAAATTATATATGTGCTCAGTAATAACAAAAATCGTGTGTTAACACTCAGTAGCTTAATACTGAGACATCACGACAGTGTTATTGTATAAAAAGCAATCGATAAGGAAATTAGGACAACACTGGAAAAAATACCGAAAAATCTATTTGCTTTGGGAAATATTCTTCATTGGAAAACCCTACTTACTTACCCCAGACGATCGTATCCATTTTCTGGTTCAAAATCTTGTACGGCCCGTAAACGTTGAGTATGATATTCAATTGGAAGCTGAAGTTGAATTTTTAGAGACACATTTGACAAATACACAGTGAAAATACGAATCACGGTAGTAAATTTAAAACTGAACATGCACATAAATCCAAAAATGATAATAAGACAATAAATATAGATGTGTATTCATCAATTCAACCGCTTCTGTGGGCCAGTTATATGGAGTATACGGTTCAGCAAATCAGCCATCGTACTACCATTTGGTTTGATTGACAAAAGGACATTCAAAGGTGATTAAAAATTCTATTCTCGCTAAATTTGCCGAAATCTACAAATAAAAATCTAACCTATCTACCTAACAGAAGTTTATACAACCTATCTCCATACCTTGCCCCCAAATGCCCTGGTACGGCCGAGAGTGGGGAGAGTCCGCTCTACCTCTCGAAGTGCTCTCACATGGCCACGCGTATATAGCCTTTGCCAGGGAAGTCCAACTCACTGCCTTCTCGTGTCGGGGGTGTTGTTTACGAAAATGAGAGGACGAAAAGCGAATGTCCGGTGCTTTAACCGGATTCCAAACCAATAGTGCACATGGGCTCCAGTATCCTGCGGGAACAAATGGCGTATGGTCACCGGCTTCCATGGGACTGCGTCTCCTTACGCTGCTCCACTGCCTTGTGGATCAGACCTTCAGGTCGAAGGCTCGGGGAGTGGCCCCTAAGAAAACCACCCACTTTGGTTTGGGCACCCGGGCAGTATCACAGCACTCACACATATCAGATGAGATTTGTGTGGCGCATATGTATTTGGTGCCTCCTTGTGTTAAAATAAATAAATAAAAATATCTCCCTACCTTGATCATCGGTCGTACAAGAGAATGTTGTAAGATAACTCTGATTTACTTCACTATTTAAAACACTTTCAGATTTTTTCCCACCTTAGTGTTTTTACTTAATTTTAGTATGTGTCTTTAGTTTTACGGAAATATCATTAAACTAACTTTCCGAAAAAAAATATTTTGTTAATTTCCGTATTATACATTATAAAATTTCCTAAACGTTGAACTAAATGTTTTCAATCTTCACAAATAATTGTTTTTATTATTATCCTTCTTTTCCAATTACCTATTTAATCATTCAACATTATTTTCATAATCACTGATGAAATCGTACAATCACTATGTATCACTACTAGTCGACCGATGTCATTTTGATTGCAACTCATATATATACATTAGTGTAAAGCCATGATGAAAAACTAATTGAAAAGAGAGATATTTAAGCATTCTGTTCTTGTTTTACTAAATATAGCTGTAAGATTGATAACAGTTAAATGTCTCATGAAATAAAGAATAAAATGCAAACTGTAATTGTCACTTAGCATTTACTTTCATGATTGAGTGTGATTTGTAAAATTTAGAGCTGCTCTTCGATGCTCTTATTAGACATTGATTAAAGACTTATTCCAAACTTTTTTTAAATACAAAAACCTCAAATTTATCGAAATTATGTATATAAATACCAAAGCATTTTATTGTGACACGTTCTCTAAAAAAAATATTGACTTAAAACAGCTTGCTTATCATACGAGCTCAGTCAACAAGCCCTTGATTTTCTTCATTCAATAGCTTATAATTTCAATTCAGTTCAGTGACCAGTGTGTAACGACATTATCACTTATTCGCTTCAGATAGACATATAAACAATACAAGACTTGAAACAAATATATTTTAGTCCGGATTTTTATACCTAATATCAGCAAGCTGAGAAGGCTAACGAAGCTAGAAGAAAATAATAACTGATAATGCGGTAGAAAATTAAGTATAAGAAAAATGAAGTGAAGAATGGGGATGGGAACTACAGAATTATAAGTATGTTGAAGGTTTACAAGGATAATTTAAATGAATAGATCCGTTCCAACGGGATAGATCCTGAAATATGTCACTAAAGTCTCTGACTGTCACTAAACTGTAGCTTGGTATGTATAACAAAGCTTCCCATTACCTGTGTGAATTGAAAAATTCAAGAACTAAAAAAATTCATTTCTGTTGGATTCATGCTGTTAAGTGATGCTAAAAATTTAACTAGTGCACTTCAAATGGAATTATGTTAAGTAGTCATTTCTTATTCATCCCAATAGTCCATGAATTCCTTGAGTGCTATTAGAAGCATGAGAGCGGTGATCACTTCACAGTTGCCAACACTGTGGAAGAATTCTCTTAGAGAGGCCTAAAAAGGAAATGGGGTTAGAGTTGGTCCTAGTGACCTGAGAGCGCGACCGCAGAGCCCAAGAAACAACTGCTTGCGACCAATCACATACGACCATTTTGTGGGTCATTTTTGTGTCAGCTCCGTACTTATTAAGACCTTACAGACGGAAACGGAAATCCGTGGCATAAGGCGAGGTGTGCATTTTTTGGGCCGACCTTTTCTAACTTCACTCCTTTCTGAAAAGGCGGCATCGCTGTCATACTGGTTATCTGAAAGAAAAACCTTACTGCCATCACCCCGCTGAACGGTCAGCAGTACGACTTCCTTTTTGGACCTTGGGTTTTCTGCTTTTATTCTTACCGTCCTTTAACCAACCTGCCTGGCATGGTAAGACCTTGAGGAACGATTGTTCCAGCCAATATAACCCGATTGGTTCATAATGATAGGCAAGGCCGGACACCAAGTCAAGGTAACAACAACGGTCGTGTTTACGAACTCCAAATATGGTGTAATATATTGTTTAAATACACTTCATTGAGGGTCCTATCTTAACTTAAAGATGACAACTATCCAGCTAAAACCAACTGCATAGCGAATGTCTGAGGTTTCAACTCCAAAGTATTCTCCATGTTGATCAAACTTAGTAGGTACGTCAGGAAATATTTACTCGCCTTTGAGTAGGTTTGTGAGGAATATTGATTATACTTGAAGGCCTAAACAGATCATAAATAAAGTGAGGTGACAAGACAAAAAAACTTATCTCACGACTTGATTGTTATATGCTACACAAAACGTTTCCGATATTCGACATCGTGTAGACGGTTATTTAGTTGATTTGATTTGTAATGCTTTGTAATATCTCTTTGATAATATTTTTGCTTGATTTTGATCAGTCTTAGTTTGAACATACGCATCATAGGTGGATAGCGTTGATATATCCATTATGGCACAAGTCTATATAGAGGGGGTGAAATGTTGTTAGCATGCAGACGAATCCAACTGACGAGTCCCAAATAGAACGAAATGAGAATCTTAGGTTCTACTGCTAGTCAAATTCCATCTATCCCATAGATTACATAAGTAGTTCACCCACCAACATCCAGGTATAGTAAAAAGTTAGCGATTGAGTAATTAACTAGTTGTGGTTGGCGAATCCCAAACTATTTATTCATTTGAACACAAATATTTGTACAAAGAGGCAACAAATATATATGCGCCACGCAATAAGAATGAGGATGTGAAGAGATAAATATAAAGTGAGTATAAGAAAAAGGAGAACAATAATGAACAGAAATTAGTGTATGATAGTGAAATGATAATAATGGGGGAGGCAGTTCAGTTAGCAAATGTACATCCAGAAATAATTCTTCCACTTAAAGACGTTACGTCCATTTTTATGAAGTAAAAGGTTACAGCAGGATCGCCACTGGTTTCTCGTCCGAGCCATATCTGATAACGTCTCTAGCCACTGTGTTGCACAATCTCTCGGACTTATTTATTTTATTTATTTGAACACATAAATATTGGTACAAGAGGGCACCATATATATATGCGCTTCATCTCTCGGACCCCAACCAGGGAGTCGTGAAGGAACAACAGAAACCAGCCCTTTGTAGCTTTCTTTCATACCACGACACCACGTCATACACTGACCATCTCTCCGCTTTTTCCAACCAGTCCGAGCGTCGGAAAACGATGCACGACGTAGAATTCTCTGGGACGACATTCGAAGAACATGTCCAAGCCACTGAAGTCGGTGTTTCAAGATGGTGACACTAATTGCATTATCATCTCTGTGCCCGAACACACGATGCCGAACCTCTGCATTACGAACATGGTGTTGCCACTGAATGTCAGCAATCCTTCGGAGACAGCGATGATCGAACACAGAGAGTCCTCTAACATCCTCAACTCGGAGAGGCCAGGTTTCACAAGCATAGAGCAAAACTGCTCTCACCGACGTGTTGTAGACCCGACCTTTTACAGCCAGACTAACATCACGAAGGCGCCAAAGACGGCCCAGATTGGCATAAGCCGCTCTGACTTTCACTATACGTGCATTGATCTCATCACTCACTTCGAAGGTGCAAAGCACATGTCATACTTACGGACACTGACTGCCAACTGATCAAGTGTGGATTGCATTGCTTGGGTATCATCACACAGTAGAACAATATCATCCGCATACTCAAGGTCTAGAAGTCTTTCTCCAGGCAACGGATCCACACCACCATTAACTACATCCATCAGAGCTGTTTTCAGAACGTCATCGATAGCAAAGTCGAAGAGGAATGGTGAGATTGGGCAACCCTGTCTAACCCGACTGCTTGAATTGAACAATAAAAAAGGGGTGCTTGTTTTTTGGCCCTGAATCCAACTCCAATTAGATCGTATGAATGATTGCTGTCGAAATATGTATGTCGCCAATCCTCGTATATAATCATTGACTTGAATCGCGTTAGTGAATAATGGAATCAAATAAGTCAAATACAAGAATGGATTCTGCCTGAGGCACTCGTATAAAGGGCTTCTAAGATGTTAATAAACTTCTCAGGCACATCCTTCTTCAATAGACAATCCCAGAGAACAGTCCTGTCCAACGAATCGAAGGCAGCCCTGATGCCGAGAAACACTACGATTGTTGGCCTTTGATAAGTATGATGGTGAAGAAATGATCAATACATCCTCGACCAGAACGAAACCCAGCCTGCTCCTCGCGAGTCAATCTTTCTCGGGTTTTGAACAACCTACGAAGTATGACGGAAGCCAATAGTTTGGACACAATCGGAAGTAGACTTATCCCCCGATAGTTGTTACAGGAACGACGTGAACCCTTTTTTAAAGATAGGGACAACTATCGACTCATTCAATCATCTTCGAACACTAATTGCCAAAACTTTGTAAACAACTTAAACAGTTCCTTAATCAGAAAGTCACCACCATCCTTAAAAAGGGCCGGATGAAAGTCGTTTGGGTCTGATGGTTTGTAGCACTTTAAGAGTTGAAGCTCCCTGCCGATTTCTGCCTCGTTAAGTGGATCAGTCGTCACAAGACCACGGAGGGCACGACAATCTGATTAATGTTGCCAGAACAGCAGATCAGTTGAACCGCTCCTCAAAAAAAGCTGCTCATCTTCCTAGACGTCAATAGATATTAGTGATTGATCTCCCGTCATCTTCACCGATTTTTTCACTCACACCAGACATTTTGCTGCCTGTGGCTCGGATGAGTTGAAAGAGCTTCCGGCAGTCACCAGATGGAGCTGTTTTTTTGCAACATATTGGCACACTCCGACCACCAGGTTTCTCGGTCCTTACGCAAGCTTTGCCCAACTCCATTACGTAACCGTCTTCGGTTGTGGTCAAACTCGCGGTCACCTGGAGTAGATAGACGAACTTCAATGAGTTGTAAGAAGACTGAAGAAACTCAGTGCCTATAAGCGGGACGTTTCGCGAACCCACAACTGACTGTACCCGCCATTTTCATGGTGTCATGCAATCGCAACCAATGCTCATCTATACTTTTCGGTAGGATGGTAGCTAACTTTGAACCTAGCTCGATTAGATATTTAGTTGCAACAGAAGCCGCAATCAAACATGATACTATCCAAGCATCTCTGTCTTTACCATCTCTATCATAATACATAACTTCCGATGATAATCTGCTAGTAAAGTATACTAAATGTTATATAAAAAACAGATTTGGACAAAGACTTACGCTTGTAGGTGGGATGGGATGCTTAAGTCGCTCTCCTGTCATTATGTCACGAGTGTAATACCTTGACAAACATCCGTCTAAGCTATCGAAGAATCTCCCACCAATTTGAAAACAATTAAAACGAGGAATAAGTCTAAATAAAGTCAAACTTATTAGTAACTTAAGCTCACCTGAAATGAAAACAAGCAAAGGTTGAAGAGAGGTATGAGAGAACGTAAATATCCTCCCATGTATCACCGCCGTGTGCTGCACGACTGAGACGAAGAAGATAACTGTTCGCTATCCCAAAACTCTGCAAACGCTTTTCCGCCTCAGCTCGATCAATGTAGCCATGATAATACCTAAAACAAGACCTCGAAAATGCGGTCAATCAATCTACGTGTAGATCTAGTGCGACAACAAATCTATGTAGTGTAACTCGCTAGAACGTCGTTGATAAGTACGGCAACCGTCTTTGAACATATTATTAGAGAGCGATTAAGGCGTTAGAAAACCTATATATCAGACTAGAATACACTAAGCCAGCACTTTCACTGTTTGCGTATACGTAAAACCTTTAGAATGAAACCAAGTGATTTGAAAGCCGTATTATATATTACAGTCAGGAAGTAAAACAATGAAGAGCCACCAAATTATTTTGCTTCCTGATCTGTGAATTTATCCCACAATGTTTCAGTTGGATAGTTCACAAAAAGCAAGTCTAGTCAAACATATTTCTCAAACGAAGCAAAAACAACTTGAGTTATAAAAAACCTTACTAAGAGACTAAGAGAATCATGTTAATGATGTTGCTCTGAGTAAAGCGCTCAACTTTGAATTTATAGACCCTATGGTATGTTGGCCGACAAGATCGTGTACTACATATTTCTAGCCACTGGTTCTAATGAGCTACAGCATTTCATTGCAGTTAACTAACCCCTTCTGGTACTACATTGATGTTCTAACCCCGCAGTAACTACTTTGGGTGGATAACAACAACCTATCACCGTAGCAATCACGGGAACATAAGTGTATCATTTTCAGGCTCTATTCGTATAAGGGAGAGCTTGACTTCGCAAACCATATTGGTTGTTCGTGATCACCTGTCAGTTTCTAATGAGACTCCATTTTATAGTAACAGGTAGAAAAAGTTCGAAGTCCATGGCTTGGCATTATTTTAAACGAAATCACTTGAAATACTGAGCACTGGAAATATACTTCCACCATTAAAGATGCTACTGGTTGTTTGGAACTAGAAAACAGTAGATCGTTATGTTACCGTTCATGTTATTAACCTTCGGTTAAACAAAACATCTATTTGGTGCATGAATAACATAACTCGAGGCATTTCTATAGAAGAAACCTCTCATCTACGTGGTCAGCACAGCTGAGTGGACAAGACGAAAGAAGTACTGTTCGTAAAATTTACAGGGTAAATAAGTGCATCTTATTTAAAAATTAAATTAGAAATCAGTAGTGTCATGGATAATATTTAGCTTCATAGTTCGCAAGTAAACAACTCTTATTACTTTCGAGGTAAAAAAAAAGACCAGATCAAACATTTGTCAGCTTACTGTTCCAGAGATGGTAAGTCTGTAATGACACAAGTATCTCCAACTGTTGATTCCGGCATTGCGAATGATTGCACAGTGGTTAACCTTCAAAGCGTAATTTCCACTCGTTCCCCAAGGTGATTCCCCTATAAAAATAAACACCCAGTCCATTTTGTATCGTTTTAGTAAAAAAAACCCTGGCCTTAACGATTTTGCATTTCCAGAAAATAACAAACGTTTAGACATTTCAGATCTATTTTCGAAGTGATAAGGCTCAGTATCTGTATATTTTTAATAGATTTACACTTCAGATTCAGATTCAGATTTGTGTAGTAAGGACAGAAGGCCTACGCCCATTTTGTTCCTTTTCTTGTATGCTTCTGTGAGTGTCTTCTCTTGAGTCTTCTCTTGAAAGAGTCAAATGAAGGTGCGGACACCATTGCTTCAGGCAGCAGGTTCCAAGTATTGATGACTCAGTGTGAAAACTTGTATGCCACAGGTATTTTGTTCGTTCTTGGCTTTTCTACTCGCCTGCTATGTCCTCTGAGGTGTCACAATCTATTGGGAAGAAAGAGAGAGAATAAGTTGCGTCCGAAATCATTTCTCAGTATTCTGTACATCAAAATTAGATCTCTTCTTAGTCTGCGATAGGACAGAGTAAAGAGGTTCAGTTTTTCAAGCCGCTCTTTGTATGGTGAACCCCGGAGTTCCGGAATTGCACGCGTAGCTGCCCTCTGTACTTTTTCTAGTATGTCCGAGTCACCTTTTAAGCAGGGGCTTGCAGCCTGAACGCAGTTCTCTAGTTTAGTTCTCACTAAGGATGTGTATACTGTGGTGAACATGGTAGTATCTAACTTAGTGTATGTCCTTTTTAGAGCCCAGAGGGTTCGAAACCCCTTGACTGCGATGGGCCGTCGTCTTGAGATTATTACTCACTGTCACCCCTAGATCCTTATGAGACCGGACTACGGGTAATGACACATCCCCTATGTTGTACGTATTAACCTTTGAATCCCCATAGTGCATGTAGACACACTTTTCCGAGTTGATAGGCATTAGCCACTCTTTAGACCAGTTTATCATATTATTTAAGTCCGCCTGAAGAGTAAATGCGTCTTTGTCTCCAGTTATTACTCGCCAAATTTTTACATCGTCAGCGTATAATAACATTGGAGACTGTACTATACTTGTAAGATCATTAACGTACATTATAAAAAGTAAAGGACCTAAGACGGAACCTTGGGGTACTCCACTAAGTACTGGTCTCCAGATGGAGCACTTGGAATTTATTCTTACTTTTTGCCTACGACCTACTAGGAAATCCTTAATCCATTTTAAAAGAGGTCCGGCAATACCAAGGTTTGTCAACTTCAATAGCAGCCTATTAGTTGGCACCTTGTCAAAAGCCTTACTGAAGTCTATGTAGACAACATCCACTGAGTTTCCGTTGTCTAGCGCATTAATCCAGAGCTCCCTAGCTATAAGGAGGTTCGTTGTACAGGATAGACCCTTTCTAAAACCATGTTGTTCCATGTTCAGCAAGTTATTGGTTTCCATAAATGCTGTTATGGTCCGTTTGATTATTCTTTCCAGTATTTTAATTACAACACTGGTGAGGCTTACGGGTCTGTAATTTGATGGAACTTGTCGTGGACCTGTTTTATGTATGGGAGTGACGATTGCGTCCTTCCAGTCCATAGGTAACACACCTTGGTCAAGTGACATTTTGAATATCACAGTCAGTGGGGCTGCGATATATTGGGCAATATGTCTCAAGATTTTAGGGTGTAGTTCATCTGGTCCTGTTGACTTCTCCATGTTTAGGGTGCTAAGAGCCTTAAGCACATCGTTTTGGTCGAATTCCACGGTGAGCAGCTGGTTTGTTGACTCTGTAATTGGGTCTGGTTCTTTCTCTAGAGGAGGTTCCTGAGTGAAAACTGCCCCAAAATAGTCAGCCATAACCTCTGTATTTTCCTGACCTTCCTCTATCATATCGGATTCCTACTTTAATTAGGTTGGGAATCCAATGATGTATCCTTGTTCTGTAGTTTATGTACGAGAATATTCTCTTGGGCTGCTTAAGTGCAGACTGTGCCAGCTGCATTTCATATTTTCTTTGCGCTTCCCGAATTTTAGTTATACACTCGTTTCTTATCGATCTGTAGCGTTCCATCGTACCTGCTGTGCCAAGGCGGATGGCAACATCCCAGCATTTCTTCTTTTGTCTTAGTAAGTATCGAATATCTCGCCCTATCCAGGGATGTCCGTGCTTCTTTTTCTTTTGGACAGTCCACGGTATGTATGGTTGAGTTAACCGATTGTATAACTGCCTGAATAGAGTCCATGCCTCTTGTACTGATGCCTTTGAGTCAAGTTCTCAGCTATCAGCCGATGCTGCGGAGTTGATTGCCTGCATATCTGCCTTCCATATGTTAGGACGGGCCGGCGCAACTGTTTGACAGTCAATCTCAGTCATGAATTTGAACAATATGACTGTATGGCAATTTGACCGACGTCATCACCGTGTGTGAATACTAATTCTAAAAGAGAAGAAGAGTTTCTTGAGTCGTATCTTGTGGGATCTCTAATGTGTTGGAATAAGGCTAATCCAATCGAGGTTTCTAACAGTTTGCAATCGAATGGTGTTATCGATGACCCTACTCCTAAGTTAACCCTGTTTTTATATGGTGCATTAAAGGCTTTTACCCTTGTTACACCAGGACTTAGGTTTACTTAGGAGGAAATCATCTGCTACACATTCTTGACTGCGATATACTACAACTACTTCAATATCTTGCCGTCGGCATTTCAACTTACATCTCACCAGTTCACATGTCCCTGAAACATGTGCTACTGTCTCAGCTAATCTTATGGTTAGGGTACTTTTCATGTACAGGATAACCCCACCTCCCCTACGGTTTACTCTATCAGCTCTACTGGTTGTGAAACCAGTTAGTAAGCTGGTTGTATCTGTGGAGCACAGTAATACCTAAAGACGAGGAAACCGATGACCAAAATGTGCAGAAAACAGTAAATTGCTAGAACCAAAAGTGTCAACAAATACTATGAAAGCAAAGTATTTAAAAGTTACGACGACGAAGTCCTTTGGGAACAGAAACGATATTCTTAGAGCATACTTTAACTGAAATTAGTTCAATTAACGTGTAAACAGTAGTCTTGGTACGTAATAAACGATTAAAACAATAAAATTCACTCAGCGAGGAAAAATATCACCATCTATTTCAAATATTAAAGTCAGAAGACCTACTACCTGTGTTAATCCTGTGTTAACACTGAGTGTTTATTCTTCTTTTGAATGCGTCAATTGAGGGGGCAAACGCTATTTCTCCAGGTAACATGTTCCAAGATTTGGTGACGGTATGAAAACCAGTACGCTTCCGATATTTTGTTCGGTCTTGGCTTTCATACTCGCTTGTTATGTTCTTTGAATTATACCGACCTGGTAGGAAGAAAAAGAGATGATATATCACGTTCAAATTCATTTCTAAGTATTCTGTACATTAATATCAGATCACCTGTTTATCCGCAGTAGATTTAGCTCTCCAAGCCGCTCTTTGTATGGCAAGCCCAGGATTTCTGAAATTACACGGGAAACTGCCTGTGTACTTTTCGCGAGTTGTCAGGTTGTTGAGACCAGATTACGGAAATAGATTCTTCCTTTATACTGTTCCTGTTTACTTTTGTATTCCTAAAGTGCATGTAGACACACATGACGCGTCGATGGGCACCAGCCATTGCTCAGACCAGGTAATCAGAACATCTTAGTCCTCCTGAAGTGCACATGCATCTCTATCTACTATTACTTCTCGCCAGATTTATACATCATCAGTTTATATCAGCACTGGGACGCAACCGCACATGAGAGTTCGTTTGCATACAGTATAAAAAGTAAAGGACCTAGGAAGGAGCTTTGCAGTACCACAATATTTACTGATATCCCGGAGGAGCATTTAAAATTTACTCTTACTTTCTGGCCACGATCTACCAAGAAATCTTTAATTCATTTTACGAGAGGTCAGGCAATTCGTAAATCTCTCAGCTTTACGACTAGTCTTTTACAGACACCTTATCAAATACTCCGCTGAAATCTACGTAGATAACATCGACTAATTTTCAATGTCTAGTGTAAGATCCATTTTGAAGGTTTTGTGTTAGAAAATCCCTTCATGTATACATTTGTGATTTATTCCTATTGATTCCTTCAGTTGTACAATTTGTCAGTCCTTTTTATTCCACTTGAGATGGTAACATTTGTATTTTATGAGTATTTATTTAACGTACGCCTTCCCTGAGTTTCCATGTTTCTCCACGAATTGCATTTACGTTGTTTTAGTTTGTACCTAGTCTTTGAGGCAGCCATACTGGCTTGTTCCCCCTTGATTGTGTTGCTTTCATTGACTAGGATTGTGTATTTTTTATTGCGAATTGAAGCACCTATCCAGAAATGGAAACGCTGTGTTATAACTCAACCAAATATTATCTTTCGAACGAATCTGTATGTGATAAATCCAGAAAGGATAGAATAACAATTATTTGGCGCGCTTAATTTGATTACTAATTTAACAATTATTGGTTGAATAACTGGGTGATATAGTGTACCTAAACTACCTAGACAGTAATTCTTCGGTCCAAACCTTAGTTTGGATTCTACATCTAGAACCTCTGTCTATTGCTCTATTGCTATAAGGAGGTTTATTGCGCAAGAAAATCCCTTCATGGAACCATGTTATTCTCTGTCTGACAGGTTGTTAGTTTCAACGAATGTCATCACGGCCTTTCCGAATGTCCTTTCCGGTATTTTAACTGCAACACTGGTGAAGCTGACAGTTTTGCAGTTTGATGGAAGTTGTTTTGTTTCAATTTTATTTACTGAAGCGACAATTGGATTCCGTTAAGTAGATGACGCACCTTGACCTTAAGTGTGCCCCCTTGATGAAAATCTATAGTGGGCAGACAATTTCGTGGCTTTGCATTTGGTTCTATCCCTTCATCTAGAAGCTGCCTCTGAGTAAAAGCCGCCTCGGCGTATTTTGCTTTGGCTTCTGCTTTGTAACGATCT